AAAAAAAAAAAAAAAAAAAAGGTAGGTAACTTTTAAAATACAATCAAATTTCTGTTTAATTAGTAATAATCCAGCACAAACTACTGAATGAAACTGTGTGAACAAAAGTGCACACCAGGCTGCAGGGCACTGTGCTTTGTTCATTTATACAGCACAGTTCTCGAACAATCAGAGCACATGTAGTGAGGTAGGTATATAAGAAATAACAAATGTGCCCACATGTTGTCAATCACAGTTTGGAATGGGGTCATCTTACTGGACAGGGGAGGGTCATTAACAAAATTTCAAGATGGTAGGGGGCATTTAAAAAAAATTGACTGTCACAGCATTTTTACAATAAAAAATGACTGAAAATGGAAGTGAAAAATGGAATTAAAAAAATTTAACAGCAGAAGCTGGTTGTGGTGGTTGTTGAGGGGGGGAGGGGGGTGGTTTTAAAGTTTTTAATGGCTTACCAACTGAATCCCAAACCCCTCCTTCCTGTTAAAGTAGAGCAGCATCTTACTACATAGAGCATACTAGTGGGGTCCACACCGTAAAAAGCATTTACCTTTTCAATGGTTCGACCACAGTATTTTTATTTCTTGATACCTTTATGTAAAGAAAGTACCAATCATAACCAGAACAAAACCTTTATCTAACCAAAGACAAGATCATAATGGAGGTTTTGCACCATCACTTGACAGCAGCAATGTTAGATGGCAGGAACAATACAGTCCTTTTTGCATAAGGAAGAATTCAATTCCCAAGAGCAGAGGGATTTTATTAATCTGCCATCTAACCACAGGCAGCCCAAGCTGTATTATGGGCGTGGGCACGTGATGGTGCAAAACCTCTATGCTTTTCTCTTTAATTTTTCTGTTAATTAGACTGTAGTTTTAATGCATCAAAGATTATTTTACAATCAAACTGAATCAATCAATCGATCAATCATCAATCAATGAATCAAACAATCAATCAAATTCATTTCTAATAACAACCACAATATATCAAAATAAAAGACTACAAACTAAAATGATAAATGTATAGTTTTTGTCACACAACAAAATATAGTATAGTAAAGTATAGTTTTTGTCCAAATTAAGCGTGCCCTGGAAAAGACAAAAAAGAAAACATTTTCCTACCAAGAGTTGCCTCAGTTCATCAAGTTTAGCAGTAGCTGTAACATGATCATCAACCTATAGAGTTAAGATAGTTAGGATAAAATAAACTTTGCTGCTAGAATTCTTTGATCATAATAACAGTCTTTAAGGATCTGTCTGTCTGTCTAATGGTGAGTTGGGGTGTCTGTCCATCTGCTTAGCTGCCTTCTATCTGTCTTTTCTGTCTGTGCTATTTCCCAGTTCTTTTCATGGGTCTGCCTGTCTTTGTGTATCATTTTCTTTTTTATACTGTCAGAATAACATAGTGTATGCCAGATAACACATACTGCCCCCACAACTGATCTGCTTTTTTTTACCGGTCTGTTTGTCTATCTATCTGTCTGCCTATCTGTCTGTCTGTCTGTCTGTCTGTCTGTCTGTCTGTCTGTACTATTGTTTTTTTCATACTGCCAGAATAACATAGTGTATACCAGATAACACATACTGCCCCCAACCACTAATCTGATTTTTTTTACCATTCTGTCTGTCTGTCTGTCTGTCTGTCTATTTGTCTGTCTGTTTGTCTGTCTGTACTATTGTCTTTTTTATACTGTCAGAATAACATACAGTGTAACAGACCCTCCCCCTCCCCCACAACTGACCTGTTCTTTTAATGGGTCTGTCTGTGCTATTAGATTTGCTGCCAGATCTTGATAAATCTTTTGCTCTGCTTTTCCAAGAGCTTTTAAAATATAAATTGAATATGAACACAAACACAAACAAAAACAATCATAATTTAGATGAGTAGTAATATAGCAAATATAACAAATATTCCTTGTTTATTTCCACATCATATTGATAACAGGAAAATTACTTCATATTCTACTAGGACACAGCCACTACTCATTCCAGGCTGCTTACCATTACCCCCCTCCCCCCATTTCCTCCCCCTGTTCCCTTTCCCTAGGGTCTGTTGCCTACCTTGGATGGTATCCCCACCAACAGTATTTAAATTTCTAAAATAACACCCATGGATTTTGATTGCATAACAGTCAAATCTTTCATAGGGCATAATTAGAGCTTGTTCAGTCAAATCAGCAATGTTGAGCCAGAAATGAGGTATGACAGATCTAACAGTTTACAATGATCATGACTGCCGACTGAGGCACTAGTCATAAAGTAAAGGGGTTGGGGGTAAAAGCAGGGGGTGGGTCACACAATTTTGGACTTTTTAAAAGGGGTGGGTGGTCTATAAAACTGTACATTAGGGGTAGGTAATTTGCATTTCCTGCATGAAAACTTAGAGGGGTCATAATTTTTTGACCTTGTTTTATACATGTACTGGGCCAGCGAAAAATGATTTTCTTCAAATCCAGTTTTACCCCCCCCCACCCCACTTCTACTTTATGATCAATCCCTGACCAGTCTTTATTTTAAGTGCTGCTTTCATTTATATAAATTTTGAACTGCAGACGGATTTCACATTGTTTCATAAATTTGAATCATTTGAGCTCAAATTTATCTTAGTCAAATTTATTTTAGTACCTTATTTACAAAAATATATACATACAAAATTAATTAAAACCTGATTTGAGGTACATGTCAGTTGTAATAGCTAATAGCTAGTCGAGACAGTTGGCACAGAATGATCACCCAAACAAATTTGTCATCATACACCCACCTATTAGTGATAGACCATTACGGAGAAAAACAAAAGAAAACAATGTGATTTGACATACGCAACAGTTTTTCATCATTCCAATTATTCTGTGCATGGATCTTTCGTAAACAGTGAATTGCTCTAACAAAAGATCTGGACAGCAATAAAAATATATTTCTATAAACAAGGTTACAATTTCCGAACAAGACATGTTTCAGCAGTTATGTTATGCGAAAAAGACCTCCTTGGCTTGGGCATAATATTTTCCCATTTCAGATCACTTGACATTCCCTGGGGTATAATTTCTTTATTTAGCAGATGCACATGAGAAGGCACAAAATTATGGATACAAATAATACAAAGAATCTTATTTTCAAGAGAATGACATGCGTCTGAAATGGGAAAATAATACTCCCAGAGGAGGTCTATTGATCTACATAATATCAAATGAATATAAGTACCTGTAACAGCCTCGTCATATTTTTTCATTCCCTTGTACACTTTCTTCGTGGCATTTTCCATTCTGAAGAGAAATCAGTACATTAAGACTAGCTATCACTAAAAGTATAAATATCGCTGCACTTGTTACTATGAATACTGTATTTAGTCATCTAAACTTTTGGGGTTTCATAAGCAACAAGTTAAGTTAAGTTAAGCATAAGTTAACAAAAATACTGTCACGTGTCACCCTCATTAAATAAAGTCTTCATTCAATCAATCAAAAAAGCAGCATAAATTCAGAGGCAGCACTTATTAATAATTTTGGTTTTAGGTGCGGCACTTATTTAAAGGTTGGCATTTAATCAGGGGCAGTTTTAGGATAGATCAAATCCAAATGTTTTCCCAATTCAGATCATGTGTCATTCCCAAGAGTATTATTTTTTTGTTTAACAGTAATGCAAAGAAGACGAAACTGAGAAGACACATGAATATGGATACAACTCAAGCAATGAATGTTATCATCAAGGAAAACATTAGGGACAAGTGGATTTGGTCTATTGTGGGGTATATACTAAAGCCGGGTTCCACTTCCACAAAATCAGTGTCAGACTGAGTTTGAAGAAGCTTATGATGAAGTGAAGACCAGGAAAAAAAAAAAAAAAAAAAATTTAAAGTGCAACTTTAACATGTGAATATGATCAAAAGAGTGGGAATTGGAGTCAGAAGTGAGTCGGGATCGTAACTGGGAGAATGAAAAGCTTTCCTTTTGACTGGCTTGTGATTATGCTAATGATGAGTGGCTTTGCACTTGCAATCAAATAAATATRAAAAATAAATAAAGAAATTATAAGCTAGATATTAAGGAATAGCATGGACGTCTAAGAAGGGGGAAAAATTATGCCCAAGCTAAAAAGAGTCATGTATACATGTATACAGCTAATAGACCCTTTTACTGATACAGCGGTACAGATACAGCGGCCATCTTGAATTCTATTGTTTTATTCACTTGAGACATTATGGGATTCCAAGGGGGCAACCATTGGAAAATTTATAGACTACACAGCTGTCAGGGTGTCTTTTTATAACTCTTTGCTTTTCGATGTGAAGCATATCTAAAAAATGATTTCATTTGCTTGTTGTTGGAACAACATATGAAACCCCAAGAATTTAAATTATTTGGAAACGGTATGAATTTTCTGTGTGTGTTTGTTCCCTCGGCATCTCATAATTCAAGATGGCCACAGTATTCTATATAAACAATGTTGTTGACTGGCACAAGCCTATGTGATTTTAACTTACTCATTGAACCTTGCCACTTGTCTTTCAAAATCATTGTCTGTCTGTAATATGAGAAATAAATTAATAAATAATATTTAGGTATCAATTGACCTATAACATCATGACATCACAGCTTGTTTACATGGGCAAGAATAATAGGAATTTAGGCGAAATTTTCTTTCGTTTGGGATATTTAGTACAACATTTATCTGTTATCACCTTTCCCCGTCTAATTAACATTTTTTATTGTGGTTTAATTCGATTTGCTGCTATTTTGCCCCCTCTGGCGACCATGATCCTTACTGTTAAAACAATAGATTGTTTTGATGTGACGTCATAGTGCTATAGGGCAATTATAGGCCTTTCAATACTGGAGATTTATCATGAATAAAATAAGCAGCCTCAGAGTAATAGATATTATTAAATTATAAATAACTAATGAAAAAAAATTACAAAAATAAGTCACCCAGTGAAGAGTGTAAATAGAACACAGAATCATCCTTATTTGCATTCAACTTTAAATGGAAATTTCTGGGTGAAATATTTCAATGTCAGGGCTTAAAATAACAGCTAGTCAGTTGCTGGTTATGAAGACTGGCCAAATTAGTTTTAACTCGGATATACCTCATTTCTGGCTCAGCATTAAGGGTCAAAATGACTGACAAGGAAAAGATTTGAATGGTAAGTTCAAGTTCTGACTAGACATTGTCTCATGACAAGCCATGTGATCTAGAAATTTTTATTAGAACATGTGAGAGAGATTATACAGCTAGACATTAATTTTTTGAATAAGAAATATATATTCTGATCTGTTAGGGCTTTATGATTGGTGAGTCCAAGGCATACAGACCAGCCGCTGACAGACACATTGTATGAAAAAAGGAAGAAAAAAAAATCTATAATCATAAGAGCGTACAATGAAAAAACTACCACAATCTTCTGCAGTTTTCTGTAAAATACACAGATCTAGAATGTTCCCTTATAGAACATTTATTTTGTTAGTTAAGTTTACGATAATTGATAAGTGGTTTTGAAGATCCAAGTTTACTATTTTAGTGAGTACTGGTAACGAAAATAAAAAAAAAAAACAAAAACAAAAATGAGTTGTTAGAAGTAAATGAAAATAGAGAAAGAAAAATAGAAAATACAGAAAGAGAATTATTTTTTTGCATTAAAAACTCCTAACTTGTCAGCTTTTAATATACATTGTTAGATAAACAAAAACAACAGAAACACAAATATAAGGTTTTTGTTTAGGAAAAACTTTGTTGACTTACCAGACCTTCACTGTATCTTCTGTAATATTTAGATCTTTTTCCCATACAGCCAAACATTTTTTTATATAGAAAAAGTACTTATGATATGTTAATTCATAAGCCGAAGAGAAAATAAAAATTGCAGCTGCCTCTCTTGAGGAAAGATAAAGCAATTTTAAGTGTCTACATTTTTCCTTTCTAAAAACTCTATTCCTGCAAAAAAATATGTCATTATAATTTTTCTTGAAGCGATACTTTTTTAAAATGAAGACCCTAAGCAATCTTTTGCTCAACCAGTGCAAAGAGATTTTTAAGAATAAATATTATTGTCATCATGATGAATATTAAGACTATCTCCACAACAACGAGAATTTTTTCTTATTTAGTTGAACCAATAAAACTTCATGTCAATAATATTTTGGTCATGATAAATGATCATATTTTTGGATTAATTATTAAGCATGCTAAGACTTTCTTTCTTTGAATAACAATAGTTATCCATAATTTATTGTCATTTGAATTCACTTCAGCTGTTAGGTAGTCAATTTTTAAATAAAATAAATATTGAAGGTATTTAGAAATTGGAAAAATTTTATGGCAAAAACCTAAGAAATAGTTTCATGAATTCAAATAATAATCATGACAGAAAATAGAGAAAATATTTTAGTAACTACTTCTGAAATCAATTTAGGAAAATCAAATGCAGCAAAACAAATTTTGTTTTCTTTTTCTTCTGGGTTTATTCAAAAAAATTCACAAACACTTATTAGGTCAACATATGCTGATCTACATTTTTAATTAAAACTATAAAAAAATACTTCAATATATTTGTTGACTTTCTTTACTTTTTTTATTGAAGTCTTAAATCATCCTGATAAACTAGATTAGAAACGCATGTGGACAGTAAAGGTTATTATGGGATCAGAGCCTTAAGTAGAAGAGATTTGTTTTCCTGGGTATTATCATTTTTTAACAAAGTTGTAGCTAAGCAACATAAAGAAACTAAAAAAAGATAGTTATAAGGGGATATGACAGTTTTCTAAGATGAAATTTTTTGAATTTCTCTTGCAAAGTATTGGTCATACTAATTGTTAGTATTGAGTAAAAAAATGAATTTTGAAGTGTGTGTGTGTGTGTGTTTGTGTGTAAGGAGTGCATTGGGGGAAGGCAGGGGAGAGGAGAGATAGGTGAGGGGAGGTGGGGAAGGGAAAGGAGAGGGGAAAGGAGAGGGGAGGGGAGGGGAAAAGATCAAGAGTAAATAAATTCAATACTGAATGAAATTAGCAGCTATATAATAAAACGAATAAAACAACTTTTTTCATGCTCCATTCATTATTATAAAATAACTGTCCTAAATCTTGCATTCTGATTAGTTGGGAGTGTGCGCTTTATGAGGTGAAAGGAGGTGAAAGGAGAGGGGAGGAAGGGAGGAGAGGGGTAAGGATAAAGAGTAAATAAATTCAATACCGAATAAAATTAGCAGCTATATAATAAAACAAATAAAACAACTTTTTCCATGCTCCATTCATTATTATAAAATAACTGTCCTAAATCTTGCATTCTGATTAGTTGGGAGTGTGTGCTTTATGAGAGCACACAGTACGCATGTGCAATTTCAGTTTTGTCATTTCTGTAATTAGTATTTCATAAAAATGCTGTGCTGTATGGAGTTATAAAGCACTAATTTTTTTCTGAGTCTTTCAATCTGCAGCTGCATAAGTTGCTTCATATACTGTGAAGATCAGCTTGATGCATTATGACTGCAGTACAAATATATATGTTATATACATGTTCTCATACGCGTACTTGGGGATTGGCAGAACACTCGAAAAGTGTTGAGAAGCACTCTGCTACTCTTCATGCTTCTCCTACCACTTCTCTTGTGTTCTGCCAACCCCCGCCTCCTATAGATCCCTTGCAGCACTTTGGAATGCAGCTCAAAACAATAGGTTCCAGTTCTCAGGAGATCATGGAATACTTTTGTTTGGCTACCCAGAATGAGCTGTGTCTTGACGTCACATGCAAGGGGTCTGTATTCTACTCTTTTCAACTAATGACTTAAGGAAGTTTCATAAGCACTAGACAAGAAGTGTGAAAAGCAATCGCTGTTACACTTTTTCATGCTTTATGTCACTTCTGCGTGCTTTATTTTACTGAACAGAGGACGGAAAAAAAGCTGTTTTATTTAATAAATATAAAGACCTTATAAATATAACACCCATATTTCATCACACATAACACCCATTTCTGAACAGAGGACGGAAAAAGCTGTTTTATTTAATAAATATAAAGACCTTATAAATATAACACCCATATTTCATTATGATACACCTTTAGTTAAGCTTATTGAGTGCTTTTAGTCTTACTGTTGAATAACTAAATAAATTTAGTAAATTTAGTTAGTTATTTAGTTGACGTCACCTAAAATAGTAAAAGCCCGCCAAATATATAACTGTCATGCTAATCTGGGGGGTTGTTTTACCAGAGAATGAGTGAATAGACATTCATTTGTACCATCTGTTTACTCGTAGTTTCAAATTTAGGTGACGTCAGCTAAAATAGTAAATAACTTATCTAATTTAGTTGACGTCTATTATTCAACAGTGAGACTAAAAGCACTCTATAAACTCAAGCATGTTAAGGCCTGGGTTATGAACCAATTCTCTATCAAACCATTAAAAAATCATTTCTCTGGTGTTTCTGCTTAATGTATAACCAGCTTTATCAAACTTTCTTAGATCGTGGTTCTTTACAAATTGATTCCAATAAATGGGAAAAATTTAGGTCACGTGACCACGAAATTTACATAAAATTTACATAAAAATTCATTTTAATAGTAGGTGCTCAATTGAAGTCTTTGCTGAACGTTTTCAACTTCAATTTATTTCTTTTCCTGAAGTTGTTCAATTGACGTCGAGAATGGTTGGCTAAAGTTTTGTGTTAAGGAGATATTTTACAAAACAGGTCACGTGACCTGTCAAAATATCCTTTATGTCCATTTTTCTCCTTTCGTAAACATTTTGGTCGACCATTCCAAACGTGAATATCTGTATCTTTGGCGCTASTTTCAAACAAGCTAAACAAATCTCACAAATAATCTAAAACCATCACCTAGTTTTTAATTTAGCATTTTCCCTCTTTTAAGGTCATGGACCACCTTTTATGCAAATTTATTCATCCAAAAAGTTAAGCACCCTAAATAAGGATATCTGTGGCAATCTCATTCAATTACATCTAAAAATGAGGATTCTACAGTGAAAAGTAATTTTTGCCCTTTTGAACAAAATCCCAGGCCTTAACATGCTTGAGAAGTAAAACTTGCTTATTAGTTTCAAACTCAAAAGATATAACTAGCTAAAAACTAGTGTGAGCTGCGTCGGTGTTTCTAATGAAACAGTAATGATGAAAAGGTAAATTATACACAGTGAAAAGATGAAAAAACTTACTGACGTTTCGGACGCTAGTCCTTCGTCGGAGTAAAAAAGACTCCGACGAAGGACTAGCGTCCGAAACGTCAGTAAGTTTTTTCATCTTTTCACGGTGTATAATTTACCTTTTCATCATTACAGTTTCAAACTCAGTCCATCTGTGGTCCGTGATTAATCATCATGACAGGCTGATGTAAATAAAGAGACATGGTGGAAGTTCACAACTAAAAAAATCATGAATCACTTTATTTATTTTCAATTCGAAGTAAGAAGGAAAAAATGGCTTCAACTTAAAAACATTAGCTTATTTCTATCTCACAGCGGGTAAAAAATACTGTGAAATTTTGTTTAAAAATAATACTACTAAAGTAACTAAAGCCTAAATTCATCGAAGTTAAAAGTTAAATTCGCCTTTCTTTGAATATTCTCGCTTCTAGTATTGAAACGTTCTGTATTAATGGCTAATAAAAACTTATCTATTGTTTTTAACACAATAATTTGTCCAACTCACCGTCAGCTTTCCCGCTGGCCTTCCCTTTAATTTGTTGAACGGATTAATCCTAAAAGTAGACCAAAGAATTCAGAATCACTAATTCAGAAATTAAAATAATCAGAACATGAATCTTATCAAGCTTACCAGCTCATTTTTGTTCGTCTTAGCGAAGGAAAACCTTATAAATTTGAAACGGAACAGTAATAAAAATAAAAGGAGCCATGTTTGTTTTGGCTCTCGTGCGAAGGTATTCCCGACGAGTTGCGACGTATTATCGATCGATTACAATCTCAGTCCCTGTGCCCCCCTCCTAGGGGAGCTTTTCTGGAGATTTCGAGGAGATGTCCTAATATTAAAAAAAAAAAAGAAACTAAACAAAAATCTGTTTTCACATATCAATGAATTATCTTTGTTCTGAAAGATAATTTTTGAAGAATTAATTTAAAGTAATCTTTGTATTTTCCGAGCGATGACCGAGTGATTTCGACTTTCGCTCGGGGTATCCGTAATGTTTTCGCGGGCTCGCACATGGAAGGAGCTGCTACAGGATCGGCGATGGAGAAGCGGAGGTAAATTATTCCTGTGATGTTTGGCTAAAACGCAAATATCTCGCCTGTATTAAGACTAAATCATTCATCATGCCAAACATAACTATCAAGCAAGAGAAGGAGGACCCAATGGAGGCAGAAAACCCAGCGCCTGTGTCAAAACCAGACAGAAAAATCTTGTGGAAGAAGAAGAAGCTCATAACAAACAAGCTCAAAGGCAAAAAAAGAGGTGCGCTACTACATCATTTTATTTTAAAATTTAAACCAGAAATATGTATTTTATGATAAATATCAATTCTGGTTTCAGATAAGACCTCTCTTGACAAAATTAAAGTTAAAACCTTCGATGAGATTATGCGAGAGAAGAAGATCAAGAAAGAAAAGACCGAAAAAGGTGAGAAGTTAGAGTCGGCCATTTTGTACCAACTCGTATTTGAGCTCGATCAGGAGAATCATTTGCCCTCTTTCTAAAAAGAAAAACAACAAACTTTAAAAGCTTTCTTATTACTTCATTCTCCGTCTGCAAATATTTCTTAGCTTTCATAAATCATTTGAAAAAAGCGAAGCTGCGAAAGATGCTTGACGTTTTCCAGTTGGCCACGTGTGTTGGTTGCTGAGCGTGTCAGATACTCGTATCAATATTTACTTCCAGAAAGGGTCCGGTTTTTACTTCAGATCATCTTACATCAATTAATTTTCATTGATTTTTTAACTTAAAAGATTGGGATATCTCTTTAGCTAAGCAATAATCTGATTTTGCGAATGGAACCTGCGATGGATGGGTTTTCGGCGCGATCTTTCTTATAGCCCGTATCACTATCCCGTATCGTCGAAGTAATTAGTAACCCAAAAATCCTATTCAGCACTCAAGGTCATACATTTCCAACGCAAATTATAGTAAATACATTTTTTTCTAATTGTTTGTAATTCTAACGTAAACATAACCTAAACAGCAAGAAAAACCCACGAAACCTGATATTGCCAATAAGCCTCCTCAAGACTAAATATTTTAGCTGAAATGTAAGATAAGGGGATGATTTTTGGAGTGAAAAATAAATTGAATACCGTAAACAAAAACGGCCTTTATTTAATACTTAAAAAAATACTTTCTCCAGATCTCAGTCATAACCAAGTAGTAAGTGTTGTTATTGTATTATTTCAGTATTTTCGATACGACTTTAGAATACCCGGCCAAATGATAGTACTCCTAAAAAAACAAAGTGCATGGCCAGCTATTCTAGAGTTGCTCTGATACCTTGAAACAGGCTTAGGGCTGGTGAAAGTTAGGACATAGCTAAGTCACTGTTAGAATTAGAATTAGATCAGATGTTGGGTTTTGCAGAGGAAGGAAACTGGACAATCTAAGGGAAAGAACCCCAAATCAAGGAACATGCCTAACAAACTCTACTCACATGTAATGCTAAGTCTGGAAGTCTAACCGGTACAACTACAGAATACCCAGCAAGGAAAAGAATCATAGTGGGCTGCCTATGCGCTTACACGTTTGTTGTATAAATAAACAATTGAGTACCATGGGGTTAGGTTTAGGGTTGGGATTGGGGAAGGCTTTGTAGGAATAAACGAAGGGTTCGTAGGCATGTAGGCTGAGTTGGCTGCATAGACAGAGAGATGCGATGAAAAATACACTGAGAATTCATATGAAGAATTAATCACCAAGTAGGTCACGCACATTCCTTAGAAATGGCTTTCATTTGGTGGGGTATTCTATAGTTATTCCGTCATATGGTGGCCCACAAGTCTCACGGCAAAACAAAAACTCACGGCAAAACAAACAAAACTCACGGCAAAACAAACAAAACTCAGGCAAAACAAACTAAAAACTCACGGCAAAAGGCAATAAATTCACTGCAAAATAAACTTAACTCGCGGCAGAATAAAGAAAGCCACGGCAAAATAAACTAAACTCACAGCAGAACAAAGAAAACCATGGCAGAATACAATAAAGGTTGTGGTAGGCAACAACGTATTTGGTTCCCTGTTGATTTTTTTACCACGAGCAATTTGTCAGCGGTTTTGATGTTGTAAATACAAATGGCTTCTGGTTAAATACTATTAAATTTACAATGCAAAGTTTATCAATTTATCATAACCTTTAAAAGACTTTAGACTTTAATATTGACCCTGAAACAATAAGAATGCTTTATAATTATTCCAAAACAAAAAGTTCAATGATAAGAACCTAAGCTTGACAAGAAATAATTAAAAATGAATGTATGTAATAAAACTGATGAATGGTTTTAGGAGATATTTTTGAAGAGAAAAATCGGTTCAAGGTTTGTCATCTTAGTCACCGGGTATGTGATTTCAAGCCGATCGGTTGTTTGGATGCTCGATGTTCTAGCTCAATCAATTGCGTTTGAATAAAGTTATCAAATGAAATATCCACTATTTTGAGGCAAGTAACAGCCCTTATGGTCAAAGGCCACCTTTCCTCATTTAGTTCTTGGATGTTTTGGCAGTCAAGGAAACAAAACAATCCTTCGTTCGCAAGGGTTGTCAGTGAAGCTAACGTGGCCCCCAAGTAGTTTTATCGACATAAATGGCAGAGACTTCACCATACAAGTATGTAGAAATTGAAAGTCTACACAGTGTAGATATAGGAAATCCCCAACTACAAGAAAATCCACACCAAACCGGTGAGACAGATTTGACATTCATAATACTTTCTCGCCAGGAGATGTTCACACAACGACGGTCAAATGCAAATGAAGCATAATGAAACTTTTAACCCACAATGCTTCACGCGACTTGATCACCTTCCTCTGGTTCTGCCGTGAGATTAGTTTATTTTGCCGTGGCTTTCTTTATTCTGCCGTGAGTTAAGTTTATTTTGCTGTAAATTTATTGCCTTTTGCCGTGAGTTTATTTTGTTTTGCCGTGAGTTTAGTTTGTTTTGCCGTGAGTTTTTGTTTTGCCGTGAGACTTGTGGGCCACCGTACCGTCAAACCTGAGACCTCTAAGGTGAGAGGTGATTGCACTGCCACTACGCTAGCCTTGATTCAACAATAATGTAGCCTTACATGTTGCTTGCATTTTGCAGCATGTTAAAGAGAGTAATACTCACATATGCTGTATCCATTGAGACCTCACAGAGTGGGGTTTCAAAGTGCAGTGGGTGTATTTTTTGCCTTTGATCTATTTTACTGGATATCATTGCTTATTGTGATTATAGCGTTGATGCAAGAATTATAATTTTTATGAATAATAGAACAGAAAATTTCATTTTTGTGTCCCAAGTCTGACATCACTTGCATCGACAAGGAATTCCCAAATATTTATTAGCACACATGACAATTCTTGCAACCCAAGACTTTAAATAAAAGATTGTAACACAGCCCTAGAGATCAGACTACTACCATTGTTGTTCAAGCATTAAACATGAAAAAAAATTTCATGTTTGTTTATGTTTAAGCTCTCATCTTTGTTGCCTAAACTTTGACTTTGATCAATCAAATCAACACATTCTGGACTGGCATGTACTGGCATGTTTGCTCATGTGATTTGTATGTTTTTATTTTATTTTTATGTTTGCTTTCATTTACTTTTAAAGTAAATAACTTTAAGCTGTTAGCTGTTAGGCGAAGATGCAAGGTGTTTAATCATTGATGGAATATAAAAGGAGGGAGACAATTGATGGTACATCAAAGTTAAATTTTAGTTGGGTAGTGTATAAATGAGAGCTTACAGGAATTCTCAATGACACGCACCGCTCTAGCGATTGTTTCTATTGCAACAAGAAGCTTTTGGTGGACGTCAATCAACATGACACTTTATAGGCACGTGCCCTAATATCTTTGTGTTTTCTGACAATGTTATGGAAACGCCTTGTGATTGACGTTCCCAAAACCTTCTTCGTTGCAACAGAAGCAATCGCTGAAGGGTGCGTGTGATTGAGAATGACTGTAAGACCATTCCATTTTTTAAAATTTTTACAGTATTTTCACTGGCTGAGTCAACACCGTCTTCCAGCACTACCACCACAATGCTGAAAACACCTATTAGGTGCAGTGCAAATCTTGCTAATGTAAAGCTTAGACAGTTTTCAATACCCTTGATGGCTTTACCTAAGGGAAAACACATGGTTAAGACTTTTGTTGGCAGCTCTTGCTCAGGGTAGGTATAAAAAATGTAGACACTTGTGTATTCAAGAATCATTTATAATAGCAATTTTTGGGGAGGCGAGCCAAGTTTATTTTCACCATGTGGTTAAGGATGAACAGTGAAGTATATCTTTTCCAGGGGTGGCAAGTCAAAGTTTAAGTTCATCTTTACCATGAGGGAGCATGGGCAATGTGGGGGGGGGGGGGGGGGGTGTTTGGTGGTGAGCCCAATTTCACCTTACCATGGGAGGGATGGGGAGCACCCACTAGGCAGCCGATAGATCAAAAGTTTCAAAAGTTTAGAATTTGTTTTTTGAGGAGGAAGGAAGAAAAAACTGGAAAAACTGAAAAACTATCATATGATGCTTGTTTTGTAACATGGACCCTGGGAATCAAACCAAGATCACATTCAGATGGCAGAGGCCTTTGCATCATTGCTACACCAACCCTTTGAGATGTATTTTTTTGAAAAGAAAATAAGCATTAAAATGTTTTAGTTTTGATTTCAACAACAGCAACAAAAATTTAAACATTTTAAAAATTGTTTGTTACAGAGTTCAGATAAAACGAGAGCCTGTAGATCCTGAAGAACAGTTGCCAAGTGGAATGACAAGCTCCATTGCAGTGCAAAAATCACCATCTGTTACACCCGTCCAAGTAAATCACACTGAGACAAGACAATTAAATGGCACAGGCGAAAACTTATTTATTAGGATTAAGAATAAAATCAAGTCAGAACACAGGGATGAGGATTGGAATCACAATGATGTCCCAAACCATACCCAACACACAACAAACAAAGAAATGCCTTCTCAAGGAGGTTGTGATAGTCTTTCAGAGGGAAGTTCTGAGCAGCTTAGTACGAGTATGGACTTTAGTGATGTTCCACTAGGATCTACCCAAGATGATGATACCATGTCTCTCTTTGCTTTTGATGACACTTTTGAGGAAGAAATTGAATCAGAGAAGCCAAGGAAACTTATCAGGTACAGTAAAAGTTCCCCGTCCATACGGTTTTTTTTGAAATGAGATCTTTTAACCTGAAATACGAATTTTCTGGTTTTCTCATTGGTCATGAGCCACCGTAAATAAGAGTACATACCAATGAATTGTGTCACAGAGCCAGCACATGCTAGAAACTGTCTATTTCCCCAAACATTTTGTGCCTTTTTTCCAGTAAGAAACAAATTTCTGATGCTACAATGAGTTCACTGTCCACACATCCGGATATTTTTGAAGTGAGAATTTTTTAACCTAGATTTAAATTTTCTGGCTTTCTGATTGATCGAGAGCTTTTGTAACTATTTCCCCCATTTTTTTACAGTGAAAAACAAATTTCCAATGTTTTTTGCAGTATGTTTTCAATTTCATAACATTTTGACCATCTGGATTCCTTGACCAAAAACTTACTGGGGAAAACAAACAATGCAGTATCAAGCCATGAAAGAATGGAACAATCTGAGTGACACACTTAAACAGTGTTTCAAGATTAGCCATTTTAAATCGAATTTCTTTTAAATTTCTAAACCTAGATAATTTGAACTTTTCATCTTTTACATTTTACATACTAGTAATAATGATGTTGACTTTTCAGTAACAAGCTGGTTTCGATATTCAACCTCCAAATTCTCTTTTTACATATTATTGTCAAAATGTCTTATTTATCAGGGCCTTCTTGAAAATCACATTTATAAGTGAAGAAGCTTCCTATTAAAATATGAATGTAAATAAATAAATACCATATGGTAAATAACAGGAAATCAAATGCCATGCTAGACGATTGAAAATCTGTTAAATACTGTTTACAATTTGCATATTTGGTACATGTCTGCAATGAAAAGAGCCTGACAAACCAAAAGGCAATCTGTAGGTGCATTAGCCATTGTTTTCTAGATAAAATTTAATATCCTGAATTTTAACATCTTTTGTTTTAACATCTTTATATTAGTGATTCTGCACAGAGAAGAGCTTCAAAAGAAAGAGATCTAAGAGAAACACTGCAAAACCGTTCAAGGAAGGAAAGATCAGATCAAGCAAACAAGGTGGAAGAAGAGTCTTGTAGGCGTACTATAGAAGACACTAACGTCAAGGAGTCTGACATGCGCACCGTAGAAGAAACTAACCTCAAGGAGTGCGACATGCACACTGTAGAAGACAATATGCTGGAGGAGTCAGACAGACGTATTGTAAAAGACACTAACCCCAAGAAGAAAAATGATGCAAGAGAAACGAGTAAAAGAGAGAGATATAACAATGGGAATAAGAAGCAAAATAATGAAAGACGGAAAGATGACAGGATCAGTTGTGGGATTGAAGATAATGGTTTCAAAGTTCCTCATGGAGATGGCAGTATAAATATCCCTGGTGGCAGGAAAAAGAATAAGCTGAGATTCCGAAAGCTGAAAAACAACAAGAATGTGGGGAATTCAGTCCCAAGTGCACCGTTTTTGGAACCAAATTTTGTAAACAATATATCTTCTAATCCTGCTTTAAGACAGGAACTCCAAAGACTAGAACAACTTCAACAAGTAGTGTTGTCTGCCAATCAACCTGTCAGTCTTATTTCACCTTTTCTGAAAAATGAAAATCCCCTCAAATACAGACAAGATGGTAAACGATTAGACAACATCTCAGGTAGATTCAGAGATGGAATACCAGTTAGAAGGAATCAAGATGGACCAGATTCTATGTTTGATGACAAAAAAGCATATTCACATTTGAGGAACCCCCCACCTGTAGCAGGAGGGCGTGGCTTTTTTCAAGACTTTAAGGAAGGGAACAAAGAGATACAAGATTTTAGTGATAAAAAGTATGAAGAACACAATATTGCAGGTGGTAGCAGATGTGATAGGAATGGAAGGGTCGTTGCTATCGGAGACACCAGTGGTGATAGATTTGCTAAATCAAATGATGTGACTAACAAGGGAACAAGCTTGACAGATTTTGACAGTTTTTCAAGAAGTAGAAGGTGCAGAACCAAAGAGGAGACATCAAACTATAGACTACCTTTGAAACGCAGGAGTAAGGATGATTATGATGGTGACCGAGCATCGAAAGAGGCCAAGAGAGAAAAACAAGTCTATTGTGGTACTCAGCTTCGGCTTGGAGAATGTCATCATTCTTACTGCAGATTGTATCATCTAACACCCAGTGAGTTGACAGAGGTAAGTTCACAGGCTTTTGTAATAGAAGTATCCAGTGAGTTATGAGTGAGTTATCATTTTCTGCACATGAATTAAAGAGGACACATGATTTGGGGTAGTGCACATCCCTGGGAAGCACATACGTTAGACCCAAAGACCACTTGTTGAAAGACCTAGTGGGAGCTCGGCAGCTATTCCAAAGATAACAATGTTGTAAACTTTCAAGGACTGAGGAGCAAAAGTGCACTACTTCTACATCACCCAGAAGTCTCCCTGTGGCTTGATAGAGCATTTGACTATCTGGAACTCACAAATCAGGGAATCACAAATCAAGCAATAATTTTTAGTGGGAATGGACTCACCTCTTGAATCTCTGATTTGATTCCCACACTCGCCATCACATTGTGGGGGAGTTTGATGCTTTTTTTCTGGATTTGAGGGTTTTTCTCAAGCTTTTCCTAACTCTGTCAAAGTTAATGGTGTCTTGACATAAATCAGCCTAGAGGTTGTTTCAGATTCTAAAATTGGAAGGGTGCTAATCTTTAAATTGCCTTATTTTTTTTAAGTATCAGGAAACTGGGAAAATTAAAGTCCAAGAGGTCGTCCAAGATAAAAGGTAAATATCATCACAATGTCAAAAACATAACTTGCCTGTTTATGAACAGAGCTTATGAGTTGGTCGTCTTTTTGGTAACCAGTCTTTTTAATCCACATTCATTTTGATCCCAGTGTTGTTAGTCCACTCACATACACATTCAATCCATTAGATCCATCCATATACACATCCCATCCACCTTTAAGATACTCTTTCTATCCATATTTTTTTAATCAATTATTTTTATTTTTTATTTTTTATTCTATCCATTCATTTTGATACCATTGTTGTTAATCCACCCACATACACATTCAATCCATTAGCTCCATCCATATACACATTACATCCACCTTTAATATACTCTTTCTATTCATTATTTTATGCTGTGTTCTTTTACATTTAGTGATCAACCACCAGAACCACCAGAACCACCAGAACCACCAGAACCACCAGAACCACCTATTCCAGTGAGCCAAGAGTCTTACTCAGATGAGGAACCAGCAAGAATGCAACAGGTTGAAGGTAAATTGAATAAAATTAGTTGATGTTGATGATCTCATGATGTACAACAAATGCATACATTAAAAACCCAAAACAAAATAAGAGGAATTAAAAATTTTTTTTAAGCAATGGCATTCCTACAGAGTACCTTTTCATCCACTGGATTTCAAATTAGAAATTAGAAGTTGACTTTTGCAGAGGGAGGTTAACTGGAGAATCCAGAGCAAAACGCTCAAAGCACAGAAGAAAACCTAACAACTCTTCTTTTGCTTACGACATGGAGTCCGGAAATCCTTACCCAGCGAGAAAGAGGATCTAAGATTACTGGATGATGGTTTTGGCAAACAAATTTTTAGTTTAACAACATAAAAATAATAATTGTGTTTTTATGCAGTTGTTAACCGATAAAGATTTATATGTGCCAAAAGGATCAAATTTCTGCCTAGCTCTCTTTTGCCTGTAATTGAAGACCTTTGATAGGGAAGTAAAATGTAACTCTCCTTTTTCCTGGGTTGACTGTGGCAGCCCAGTTGTAAAATGCCTTTGGTTTTTTTTTGTAGTCTCCTTGCGAAATGTGCATTCTTGCGTATTAGTATATTAAAACTTAGTGATGTCAGTAACGCAACGTTGTTTTCTCTGTCTACAAAACCACATCAGTAGTACACCTAAAATGTTCCAAAGTACCCTCTCCTCCCATATAGTGGTACTTAACAAAGATCAGGTGTTGAATAAGCTCCAGCACACCAGCATATTTGGCAACCCAGTGCATGCTCCTAAAAGATAATGGAGTTTAAAATATGGCGGCCATTTTTCTTGATAATGTCACATTCTCAAAACTTTAGCAGCCTAAGATTACAATTAGAAATATCTCAGCTGAATTTCAAACAAAATCAACCAAATTTGCTTGTATTATAGTACTCTAGCTGTTCTTCAGAAGTTGCCATATCAAAAGCCTTGGCTCCAGGCTACCCTTACCTAAAATTCAGGTGTTTGGAATTTCTACCTTTACAAGAGATTGAATAGACTAGGTTAAAATATCTGTTATGGTCGTAGACACAAATTTAGTCGAGTAATTTTCTGTTCAAGTTCTGAAAGTTCTTCTAGTTCAACACCAGGGTGTTGCCATAGCAACCACAGTTCGTGCATTTTCACGTTTAATATTTTGAATACAAGTACACTGCAATTTCAAATATGCTCAGAGATATATTTAAATCTATGTTAAAGGAAACTGAGTTGTGAATATGACCTCATCAACTTCCTGATCAGCATAAACTTAAAACTTGAATATCACTCAAATCAAAAATGCTAACAAGAAGTGGAAAATCCCAGTTTTCTTCTTTTGCAAAGTACTTTAACATGTGTAAATGATAGAGATTGGAGGCATTAAAATTTCTTCGTAGTGGCACTTTAATTTATGATACAAATTGTAGAGTGATTGAAAAGCTCTTGAAACGATATGAATCATTAAGAAGTCCTTGAATACCTCTTGAAAAGAAAACTCTGTGATGTTTGAAAATTGAAATAATATAAAACCAGGCATCCAGCTCAAACCCTGTTTATTTGTTTATTAATTTTTGTTGGTTTATTTTTGTTTAGATGATGGTGAAAAAGAGCAAATGTGTAAAGGTCTTGCAAAAGCTGCTAAGCAGTTACTAGACTCATTAAAGCTTGGTAAGTTGATCTAAGGGTGAAATTCCATTCCATACACCCAATGCAAATATTGCATCCAATTTGAATAGCTATTGTTCTGATGTATGAGAGGCTTTTCAGTCCATAGCAGTACTTTTCAAATTTGATGCCATATTTGCCTTTGGTGTAAGAAGTGCTAAGGCCAAGTTCATCAATCCAAAAATGAATAGTAATAGGAGGGTATAACATGAATGTTATACTGTCCAGCAAGATTGAACTGAAAGGATATGATGTCACCTCTGGTAGTGACCATTAAATGTGAGTGGCACCCCAAACCACAAACCTAAACAGTTCTTATTAGTCAGGAAGGGCTTGTGAAGAGCCTGTGAGCTGAACACAGGCATGCTGCAAGATGCACACAAGATGTACAATGTCAACAAATTTAGATTTTTTCATAAGACTCGTGGGTCAAGCTGGATACATTGAAAAAAGCAAATGCATAATGCAACACTTTTTGTTAGCCAAAAAGGCTTATGCGAATGATTCCTGGAATAAAGCCCGACTTAAAAAAATAAACTAAAAACAAAATCCAGAATTTGTTTTTCAGAAAACTTAGCAAATAGTCTGTTGAAGTCGAAGTGGTCTTTCGTAATTGAAGTGGCTTCAGACAATCAATTCATCACAGGCAATTCGCTTCCAAACTCAACAAAATACACCGAATCGAAATATGGCGACCAATTTGAATAACTATTGTTCTACACTGATTAGCGACTGACTAGCCTCTCATACATGTGAAAAAGCTTTTATGTTTGCATGTGATCACAAGGCTAGTCAGTCTCTAGTCAGTGTGGAACAATAGTTATTCAAATTGGTCGCCATATTTCGATTCGGTGTATAACAAAGTACTAAACAAAGTAGGCATTAAAAGGAAAATTTAAAAAAACGAGTTATCACCTTACCAAAAAATTGAGTATTTAAAATGTGAAATTGAGCAAAATACTTTGAAACCTTCGATTGTCAACAAGTATAAGGATACACAAAGACCAATCTCTGGAATGTCAACTAGTATGCCACGAGTTCGCCAAAGAATAGTTTGATTTTCTTAGCTCGTATATTAAATATTTTTAACAAGGGAAGAAAATGGTTCAGCAGGCACCACAAGTCAAAAATATGAAAAGTACTGACTGATTGGTTGTGATTGACAGTAGCGAAAATTCAAATTTCAGGATGCAGCTCACAGCTACCAAGTTCACATGTTTATGAAAATGACAGTAAAACTGGACCAACCATACTGGTGGCTACAGCTCTTGACAACTATGCATCCACTAACAATGTAATAGTTTACAAATTTTTATGTTTTTGTCTATAGGTGAAGCATGGCAAGTCATTTTTCATCTATACCAGAACGAACCTGTCAATAGGGAACCCCTGATAAAACTTCTTGAAAGAACTTTGTTTTTATGTGGAGAAGATGGTGTTGATAATGATGTTGCTGCTCAGGTTTTGTATTTTTTTCTAAACGTAAAGTTTATTTTTAATCTTTTAATTTTTTGATTAATTTGTTGGATTGGATATATCGAATGCATTAGTTTGTAGAGATGGTAGAATATAATTCTAGTTCTTATCATAAGGTGATTTCAATTGAATATAAACTTTTTCACTACTAGGGTGGCCAAAAGCGGAAATGCTACATTTTCCTAGAGTGGCCAAAAGCTGCCAGTGGAAAGACATTTTTGCTTTTCAATTACCAGTCCCCTAGAACATTTCTATCTGTTGAAACAAGTGGGCTATTGTTTTTTGTTTGGATCATTAACCAATCAGATTCTATCAACTGCTTTGATGTGTGTTATAAGGCCTCAATATCTACTGAGCATAAGTTTTTCATATTGAGAAATAAAAAACACCCAAATTGTGTTCCAACAGGAGCCTGTTGTTGGACCCATTTAGCCTCTAGTAGTGAAAGGGTTAATCATTAACAAGACAAACAAACGAACAATCAAATAAAAAAATAAAAAATTTTTGTTAGAGTTAAAAAACTAGGAAACCAGAGATCCCAGAGAAAACCCTCGTGGCAAGGGAGAGAACAACACAACAAACAAACTCAACTCCACATGTGATTCAGTCTGAGCCAGGGCTTGAACCACAGTGGTGAGAGGCGAGCACTAAACCACTATGCCACCCATAAATTACATACTTAAAGTACACAGTAATGTTTCATCAGTGTGCTTCTATGTGAAATTAAAAGTTAATAGTTGATTGTTGTGGAGAGATAAAAATCGTTGAACGCAGACAAAAACCCTTGAGGTGACTATGTAACATATATTTTAAATGAGATATAAAAAGAAAGAAGAAAAAAAAAATTGATAATCATTTATCTTTCTTTTACTAGGTGTCTGCTCAGGTTTTTGACATGATTCCCAAAGTTCGTGGAAGCTATAATCGACATGACTTTACAACATTAATTCACTGTCTTTGCCACACTGGACAATACATAAGGTAACTAATATTTCTTTCAGTTCGATTCAAAGTATTCTATCTAACCTAGCATTGCATTCAAGACAATCAAATGACAATTACTTTAAATTACCCTTTAAGAGAACGCTTTCCAGGTGGAATGAGTGGCTGTCGTTTTCTTGTGTGAGGCCACTCTCATCATGTAATCTACATAATCGTGGCAAAACTTATCTTTAACATTTCTGATCCTCCACTTTGAAGTCATTTTCTCTACAGAACACTTCTACATTACATGTTCTCAAACTTGATCCCGTAGTACATAAAAATATAAATGTCATCACGTAGTACAGTACGTACAAAATCTATCACCGCCAGACGGAGTGCTTTCCAACGTGATTTCCATTGTTCTTGATTTTGCAGAATTGGTGGTAATAAATTGATCTAACACTGCACATGAATTTTTTTTTTGCATTTTCAAAATTCGTATTATTTATTATTCAGTATTCGTATAGTTTGCAAACTGATTCCACTGTTTTGTTTACCATTGGTTATAATGATTGGTTTCAGGCTGGTTCATACAGGTTGTCAATCTGAATGGTCAGCGAGTTGCTTGGCTCGTGTTTGCGTAGTAGATTTCAAAACATGTTTGATTGAATTTGCAATACGTTTTGCACAGGCTTATGAAGAATTCAAATAGAATAAGTTTTTTCAGAAGTCAATATTAATAATGTGTTTGTGTAGTAGATTTTCAAAACATGTTTGATAGAATTGAAGTTCGTGATAAGTTTTTCACAGGCTTACGAAGGATTGAAATAGTTTGTATGTGATTGATAAACTTTTATCAGAATCATTGAAGGAAATGTTTGTGAAGTCGATTGCAAAACATGATTGAAATTTTTCACAGGCCTCCAGTATGACAAGATAATTTTCTTGTATTTTCCCCCCAGAATTAAGATATTAAGATCCCTTGTGCTGGGTCCGTGCGCGACACACGCAGTTGGCCCTGAAAAACTTCTGGCCTGTACTGTATATCTTCTTTCACACTATAATAGGAATAAATTTCAATGTAAAAAAATGGGTAATACTTTTTAGTTTGTAGCTTATAAAATGATATCCAGGAATGATATGTTGTTTCTTTCTGATTCAGGGGGTATGAAGTACTGGATGAAATGAGGAAATCTAACATTACTGCTACTCATGAAGTATATCTCGACCTAATACAATGCTCTGAGGCTGAACCAAACTGGTAGGTATTGAGCCACTTTGATTAGTAGAAGCGGATCTATAAGAAAGGTTTCAAGTTTTTTTTTTATTTCCATTTTATAGATAGCATTATATACATTACTTTTACGATTTTTGCCTGTTTACTGGGAGGTGCTAATAAGATTATTCTGCACCTTAAGATACGAATGTACTTACAAAATTGCATGGGAAACAAGGCAGTTGTAACAGTGGACTTGCCACTCATCTTTGGGGTCAGGTTTCAGAGCCTTTCATAATGTAATAAATAGAGGTTATTACATGGGCACGCGGAGATACGAATTTTATCTTCAAGTGTTGAAAAGATCTCTCATGAGGGAGCGCAGCGAACGAGTGAGAGATTTTCAACACGAGAAGATAAAATTCATATCTCCAAGTGGCCATGAAATATTCTGTTTATTATATAATTATCAATGAAGTATGTTTTGGCTTTTTCAGGCAATTCTTTCCGTGTATTTTTGAATAGCCATCGCAATGGTGTTATTTTCACACGTGAAAATAACATGTTATTTTCACGTGTGAAGATATCAGTTTTTCGAAATAGAGAAAAATAGATATTTTATTGGTAATTATATAATAAAATAGAATATTTCATTTCTCAGATCATTTCTCTATGTAGTTTTGCCACTTTTTCACAAAAGCCATGCTCACTACTGAAACTGAATCTCTGCGATTTTTTGTTCAAACTCTGCCAACTGGGAGCCGTAGGAAGTTCAATCAATGTAGATCACAAATATTTGTATTCACTAGGATTTCATTGTTCGATTTCATTCGCTTATTTTCTTGTGTTTGATTGACAGAAGCTAAAACCTGTGTTTTGGCCCAGGGCCAAATTTTTGGACTACCAATAAAAAGTGATTAAATTTTCTCCAGGTTCTCTCTCTTGAAATCCAACATTCTCAATTTCAATTTGATCTGTTAAACCTTCTTGCAGCTTAAAACGTTCATGGCCTCAACCTTTAAGTAGAGTTTTCATCAAGTTTCAAAATAATAGGAAAAGGTCATAAACTGCCAGAGACTCCTGGGGACCAAGGGAACATTTTGGGAATTACTTAACCATTCATGGTAGTTTAAGTCTGAGAATCATCACAATAAGCAATAAGTGTAGAAAGGCTGCACGCAAACAATGCCCTAGAACGTCATTAATAGACAAAGTTGTATATGCTGGCCATCCTTGTTGGAAAACCACCCTAGAATATTTCTTATATTTTTTGTATGGCTTGTTTTGTTAATGGACTTATGACAGTTATCTTTTTTTATTACAGGGCATTTAATTTGATAGAAGAAGTGAAATCATTAGGATTGTTTAAAGGAAGGTAAGCATATCAGTGTATTTAACTTATCAAACCTTGACCTGCTTCATATTCCATGAATAGTATTACTCTACTCACATGCAATGCGGAGTTTGAAAATCAAATTGAAGACTCCAGAGGCGAGAGGTCGTCTACTGCTACACCACCTTTAATTCCCAAAGAGGTTAAGCCTGAGCTGAAGGCATTCATATTTTCTTTTTGTGTTTTAATACTGATTCATGCTTGAGAAAATTTGAAATCAGATTGTTCCAAACATGAATTGCCTTAAAAAATTTTGAGAGTTTGAGATATAAAGGTATATGACCACTTTTTGCAGTATCTGCAGTGCTCTTATCCTTCTGGGTGCAAAGTCTGGGAAACCACTTCTTGAAAGAACCTGGATGTTGTTTAAGGTATGAATAATTGTTTGCATAATCTTGAGTACCTATTTTGCTTTCAAACCCTTTTAGAATGCAAGGCTGATCAAATGTTTCAAGCAATAGAATAAGAAATCTTTTAAAAACTTTTTTAATTCAACTAATTGTAGGTTTAAATTAAAAGTATTTTAGAAATTTATTTTCAAATTTTAGTTGGCATACTCTAAATAAAAAAAATGAAAAAAAAAAAAAAAATAAAATAAAAAATAAAAAAGAGGAAAAAGGAATATGTGTGGAAACAGGGAATCCAAAAAAATTCTGATCTTCAGATGGGAAAGAAAGCCGCTACCTTCCTGTGGAAAGTCAAAATACTTCCTATAAAGTCCTGCCTTTGCTTCTAAATAGTGCCTGTACAGTACCAATAAACAGATAAATACAATATTTGTCAGGTGACTGGTTTGTACTTGTATATGTGGTCCGGTGTGAGCGCAATAAAATACCTGGTGCAGAAAATCAATTCTGATTGGTTGGTTTGATTTGATAGAAAAAGCTTGGACTAAAAACTTCTAAGAATATCGAACCCAGGTAATAGCTATTTTAAAAATTGAATTTTCGCAGGACATGATGGAAAACTCTGTCAAACCGTCAAAACAATCCTATTTGGCCCTTCTTGATTTACTAGCTGAAAATAATGAAGGCCAAAAACTTCTGGATGCTTTGGTTGAGCATAATGATCCATCTGTTGTGCCATCTGCCAAATGCAACAAAATAATCATCAAACACTCTAAAGACAATGCTGAAATGGTTGCTATAAATGTGGCTAGTGTCTGTGAGATTGCGAAGAATAAAGATCCACTGCTAGATGTCGAGGTAAATAAACAAATCTGCTGTTGCTCTGCCAACAGACCTTTTTACTGATATGGTGACCATCTTGAATTATGGTAATGCTGAGATGGCAAACACGAAAAATTGATAAGGCATAGAGTAGAAGGGTTATGTTTTCAAATAATTTGAAGTTTTGGTGTTTGTCATATTTTAACTACCAGTAAATTAAAAACATCATGACAACTGTGTAGCCAATAAATTTCCCAGTAGTTTTTCCCTCGGCATTTCACAATGTCATTCAAAATGGCTGCTGTAAAGTATTGCTATTAGACATTTGCATGATGACATCGCATTTTTTCAAAATTATCACTCTTTTCGTGCTAAAGTAAGTTGAGATTGACAAATGGACAGTAGACTGCCATGAGTCAAGTGAATCGTTATAGTAAATTATTAAGTTACATGTTAATAATACTCTATTTATTTGATTGATGGTGGTCTACGGCCTCTACTTTTGGCCTGATTAGTGTGTGACCATGAAAACAGTGGTTTTACAGTTTTTGTATGGCTGTAAAAAGTTAATGCCACTAATGAGGCATGCACCGGAACAATAATTGTGTTGCATGATAATTAACTCTCCATTCAATGAAGTACCTGAAACATGGCATGAACATTCCGTGATCATGGTCATGCCTAGGTCACGGCAGACAAATCACATTATGCAAGAAATTAATCAGGCAACATTTCAGAAGACATCACAGTCACTAAATTTTGCATACGGCATAAGGCTTTTTAAAGATATATGAAAAAGTCTACTGACAGTGTAATAACAGGGCTCTCTAAATGAGACATCCCTGTATAAATATTTTTAAAACAAAGAAAATAAATAAAAGGAAGAAACAGAAAACTACAACAACAAACAGACAAACAAACAAACAAACAAAAATACCAACATAAAGCAAGTGTTAGCAAATTGAAAAGCATCTTTTAAGTATGTCTGACCTTTTATTTTCAGACATGGAATGTTCTCTTGAGAAACTGTTACTCAGATAAATTTAATTTGGTGGCTGAGGCTCAACAAACATATGGCATGATGAAACGATACAACATTCCTTTAACAGCTGAGGTACACTATTCTAATTCTTACATGATTCAAATAGAGTACTCAAGTAATGACGTCACAAAAAATAATTTTCGCTTGATCATATTTTTTGTACAATTTCGATAGACAATTAAAAAAGACGTTTACACACCAAATTTGACAAGAAACAGACAAATATCAGCCTATATGGTCATTTGAATGTATAATTACCCCATACATATCACTGTATTTTTGACTTAGTTCAAAACGTCTTGAGCAAAGGCGAAAATACAGTGATTTGTATGGGGTAATTATTATGTATTCATATTGTCATAAAGTCAAAATTCATTTTTTCGTGTTGTCTCAATTGAGTACTTCAAACTGTTTCACTGTTTTACAACTTAAGTTTTTTTAAAACTTAAAGTAAATAATTTATGTCTGTTAACAATTAGTAGAGTGCAAACAATATAACCACGAAACTTTAGTAATACTAAATAGCACAATTTCATGCAAATTCCATTGTTTTCTATTGTTTAATTAGCATTATTTTGTACTATTTAGTAATTAGCGTTTCATGTATTAATTGTTTGCACTCTATATTATCAAAACTTAATAGTGAAAGACAAGACAAGTGGTCATTCATAACAGTCAAACGTGGACATGCATGTTTGCTTAGTTTTTTTGATTCGGTTGTTTGTAGCAATTAAAGAATCCTAGTCAACTATGATGCCTTGCGTGCCATAATCAAAGCAATCGTATTTTTTTCTGCCCAGCAAAATGGCGGTTTAAAAATCCAGATCCATTGATCTTGGTATTCCTGCTAGACATTTCAATTTCATGCTTTCTGTGAGATTTTTTAAATTTTGGCAACCAATCTAAGGTAGATTTTGAAAGTTGTGATGTCTATCAGTTGTACGGCTGATAAGTCATATTGTCTCAAAGAGGATCTCTCTGAAAGATTCCACCTATTTGTTGTTGAATGAAAGGAAGGAAACTTTGGGAATTTGAAGACTTGGGCATAACAAATTTTGCTCTACCAGTGCATGGAAGAGCTTTGAGAATGGTGTAGTTGAACAATGTAAACATTAATATAGGGTCGCAATGCATTATAGTTGACTAGAATTCTTTAAATATTAGCTATTTGTTTTTTCTTGCTCATTCTTGGTGGTTTAACCCCCATTGCATGTCACCCTTATAGGGTCCTTAGGCGAGTTCAAAATTTTCATTGCGAATTTAGTGTAGTAGGTTTGTGGGAGTAAAACATAGTTTTTCTGACATGTTCACCTCCCTGGAAAATGATTGCTTGTTAAGTCTGAATAAAAGTGGTAGCTATCCTTCACATTGCTTATTCAAGTTGAAGTGTGATTATTAGTTACTAAGCTTCAACAATTTCTTGTAGGGCTATAATAGTCTGCTCTGTGCACTAAGTGAGGCCAATCAAACCATATCTGCCATGGAGGTCTTCAATACATTGAGCCAAGCTTCTGGTCATTTGAAAGTCAATGATTACAAACCTTGCATTGATTATCTGATTGGAGCTCTGATAAGATCAAAGCAGCTAGAAGATCTAGAGTTGGTGGTTGCATTTGCAGTTGACAATGGACTAATGGTAAGAGAGGAATTTTAAATACTTGTGCAGTACTGATGTAAAATAAATTGAAGAATTATAAAACCTGTTTAAGTGCTGTGTGCAGTTATAAAGTATGATTGGCAGAACATAAGAGAAGTATTAGCAGAAGCATGTGATGCATAGCGGAGTGCTTTATAACTTAAAACAGCACAGCAGGCAAGTTTTTTGGTTTCTGTCATAAAATACAAATTAGAGTAGTTGCTATTGTGGACATGAATGACAATATAGAGTGTGTGCTCAAGATGCACACGCTTCCAACCAATTAAGGTGGGATTTATGACAGTTATGTTATAATATTTCTTTGTGTATAACTGCAGAAACTAGTATGAAATTGTCAGATCAGGATTATCAGACTTATTGATGTATATTTCAAGGGCTTTGGTTAGCAGTCAGTTTACTAGGGAGTGATGGTTATAAATTATAAAATATATTTCCAACTGATACTGTATTTGAACACAAAGAGGGGGCTTTTTCGAAATATTATTCAAATAGTTTACTTGTCCTTTACAGGTAGAGGAAAAGGCTCTCCTTTTAGTTATTACAAAAATGGAGCTGGAGAAAAAATTTGAAGAGATTCATCAGTTATTCAAAAAGGTACAGTACCAATACTTTTTTATTGCTTTCAGCTTGACCCCCATGAGCCTTGATACTGCTATACTGTTGTACTTGGCGATGGTGAAAAGCAATAACAAGTTTTTTGTTTATAATTTTAACAATTTTTTTATTTTAAAGCAGCTATGTTATTTAATTACTAGAGGTTTTGCTGTATTTTGTGCTAGGATAAAAAGACTCATTGTCACATAATTTCCTTTCATTATTACATAATTATTTTTGATCTTGAATATTAAACGAGGTGTTGCTTTACTGTAGTTGCAGAGTACAAAAGAAGGAATTCCAGTATCTGTCTTTCGTAAACTGGTATCAACACTTGAGAAGTGGGCTGACAACCCTGCAGCTTCACTTGCAGTGTATGCAGCAATGAGAAGATCATATCCAATCATTCCAGACAACTCACAGCAAATTAACAGCGGTTCTTCAAGGTAACAAGACCCTGTGAGCAGGGTATACTGGGATACCTAGAAGGGGGGAGTGGAGGACCTGGTTTCAACATGCATGGAGTATTTAGTTGGTTGAGCTACCAAAACTACTGATATAGTAGATATTGCATGACATCGAAATAGGTGATGTGATTAAAGGAAAAGTTGGGCATCTAGAGAAGTAATGTTGGACATTTACATTTTTGGGGCGTTTTATGTYGTGATTTATTGATGTTTTTGATGAAATAAATAAGTGGGCATTTTAAATTGAGATGATCAGCAATGCACAGTAAAACTATACAGAATTTATTTGTAAACACTTTCTCAGAAAGAAAAATCGAGACAGAACTTCCACACGGCTGTCAATTTCAATCAAACGGGGAACACGAGTAAAAAAATTGCTCAGTTGAAAGGACCTCTGTTTGTGTTAGAAATCTCAAGGAGTTTATATTTACAAGTTACGCTCGCTAAAAAATGAAGTTTTGGCCACCTTAAGGAATATATTTACATTATTAGCAAGATCTTTGTCGGCATCTATTTCACATGTTTGTCATGATGTCTTGAAGTAATGATAAACCAGACCTGGTTGGTATGGTTTACTAGTATCAGAGTCTCTAAGAATCTAAAGGCGAGTAAAAATAAGCTGAAAAATTTTGCACATCAGTGTTGAAAGCCGTTTTGAGCATTTATGCCATACTCATCAAAGTCATCGAATAACTTAATCTAGAACTCCAATTCCATTGTCATTGCTATGATCATTAGCCTTAAATAGATAGATTGTTTTTAGTTGATATCATAGGGAAATTGAACATGGCCAGCCACCATTCTGAATTTTTTAGCTTAGCTGGTATAGCAATTGATGATAATCCTTTGTGCTGGCTGGGAAAGGCAGTAGATTTTATTTTGTTACTAAGTATACATTTCTAAGAGTGTTTGCATTTGCTTTCATTTTTTTAGTGATATGACATCAGGTTATGAAACACATTTAAAGAGAAAAGCATGTAGATACTTTTGGACCACCAAAGGATGTATATTTGAGAGTGCATGTAGATTTTCGCATGCACCATCAGATGCACCTTTCATTGGACAGTCAGGTTTGTAATCTCTAAAAACTTTTTAAAAATGTATATAAAAAAATGGGGATTAAGTAGGGATTCCACAGAGTGGCTGTTTTTAAACTGGATTCCAATAGCCAACTTTCGATTTTCTGGTTGAGCACTCAATAGCCATACAATTTGAGTTGAGGTTCTGGGGAAACAAAATAATGATAATTAGTTTACCCGGAGCTTCAATTTGGATCACTCAACCAGCATATTAAAAGTTGGGTATTAGAATTTAGAAGTTGATTTTAATGTAGGGGGGAAAAACTGGAGAAAAAACCTTCAACAAGAAATTTACTAAGATCATCTAAGTCATGGGCTTGTGATACATTGATAAATTGCAATGAAAGATTGATTCTTAGGTACATTTTGCGAGAGAATACACAATAAGCAATCATTTTAAAATAATTTTACAATAGCTTTTTTAATACGGAGAAATAAACGACAAATGGCTTTTTAGCTTTAATAGTTTTTTCGACTTGTGGTTGACATCACTTGTCAAGGATCTGTCGTTACGTCTCTATCAGCCACTGTTGTTTTACCTTGGAAGCTCTTGGACCTTGGGTTGCATTTCCTGCTGCTTGCCCACTTTTCTCTTTAGTTAGGCGTACAAAATAATAAGTACACCCTGAGCGAACAAAACGTTTGAACTTGAATATTAGCGATGAATGCCTAAAAAACACTACCGAACTGTACCTGTTCAGTTAGGAGTTCATCTGGATTTCCAGACCGGAATTACAATAATAAAGTAATTCGATCTTGATTTTTTTTGTTACTTTAACTGTCATCCAGGGACACATTTTGGTGTCCATAATCTTCTTATGTCAACAAAGGCAGCTCTTGGCTTGAAAAACAATTTTGCGTTTTTCTYGGAAGTGATTTTGAGTTCACTTACCCATATATTTTGAGTTCATTGTCAAATGGAATTTGACCGATTTAACTAAAATTTTGAGGAAGTCATCTTAGATAGTTTTTCTTCGAAAGTGTCTCCGATTTTTGATTTTTTTGCGTATTTCCAAAGTTATCATGGATTTTGGCGCGGATACAGCTGATATAGCAGTGTCATAACTTTAGGAGCGTATAAAAAAGCAACGGGGCAACTAAACAAAAATCAAACACACTTTTGACAACTGATGTCTTGTGATCTCGGAAATGTAATAAGCATTGGTTTCTGATCATTACTGGCTGTCATTGAACACCGCGAAGATGCCAAGGTGAAAATTTGAATAATTCGCTCTAACTTAAAAGGGTAAATTTTAAGGATTATTTATTTATCCAGCTCTCAGAAAATGTTTACTTTGTTGAGGTTTCGATTAAGAGATTATGTGCTATTAAGAGTTGAATGCACACTGGTTACTAGGGGTACCCTGTCAGACATCTTTAGCACTTTGCATGGTGCCTGCTGTAGATGTTTGTTTTACAGTAATCAAGTAAAAATAATGAATTTATTCTGTTAACAGATGTTGCTGACGTTAATAGTACATCGCCAGAAAAAAATAATCCATTTGTTTTGAGAAGTGCATCGTTTCCATTGTGTGGACAGCCAATGCAACCTCCACCTCGGCCACCAGCATTTCCATTTCCAATGAGTACTGCAGGTCCTAATCCATTGGTACAGTCCCCTGTAGTTTTTGCCTCAAGTAGTCCATTTGTGTTGAAAGACCCCAATCTTCTAACAGCATTCCAGCCGCCTGCTGTTCCACGAATGCCATTTCCATTGGGTTTTTCCCAAGGTTCATTATTTTCACCATCAATTCCTGTCAGTGCTTCTACAAGCATCCAATATGATCAAAAAATGTCTATTCCAAGCTCCATACAAGCTGGAGGTGAACGGCACAGTGTTGATTTGGGTTCAACAGCTACATCAGTATGTACTACAGATACACGTGGCTCACATTCTGCTCCTATCATGTCAGAGTCTCTTAGCAATGAAGGATTCCTTTTTCCAGTCAAAACAGAAGTGCAGTTTTATAAGTCTAAAATACTAGTAAGTGGGAAATTTGCATAGATCAAAAATAAGTGTGTTGTTTAATCACTGAGAAGCCTAAAAGGCATTTAAGTAATGGCTTCATACTTTCATCAGCATCTCGGCTCATGGCCTTAAGCTTTTATTAGCTTGTCAGCGTTTGGAACCTCTGTAGAAACACTCGCACTCATTGATATATTTCTTCTCCGCCAGACACATTAGTTATCACTTCCCCGCCATGTAGTAATATAGTGGAATTGAGTGTGGATTGTATTGTGAACTTGAATATTGCATCTGGATGAAAAGAGTTGCACTAGTTTTGTGCATTACAAAATGAAATCGAAATAAAAGATACTAATTGAACTGAGAGAGTTAATCATGAAGTAATGTTAGTAAAATGTAGTCTTTTTCTGTATTATGTAGAAAGCTACTGAAGAAAAAGACTTGGAAGAGCTTGCAAGACTTTATGTACAAATGAAGAAAGAGCAAGTACCTGCAAACAATGAAATGCTTCTGCTCTTCTATAACTGTTTCATTACTTGTAAAGATATCGGGGAATCGTTGTCAAGCTTTGTAGCTATCATAGATATCCAGTTGGACAATCTTGATATAGATGAAGATTCCAGTCAGAAAGAGGCTCTGGACATTGATGATCTCAGATTTATTGGTGAACTTGGAGTTGCATTGATGCAGTTCTGCAGGCTGCAAAAACGACTTGATGAAGGATACCTAATTCTTCATGTGTTGCATCAGTATGGAGTGAACTACTTTCAATATCCAGGTAATTTTTTTGTGGTGTTACTATGAATGGGAGAAAAGAATTCTAATCTAACAGTAATGATAAAAAGGTAAATGATACAGCATGAAAAGATGAAAAAACTTACTGACGTTTCGGACGCTAGTCCTTCCGATAAAGGACTAGCGTCCGAAAAGTCATCTTTTCATGGTGTATAATTTACCTTTTTTATCATTACTGTTTCATCAGAAGCACCGACAGGTCACACTAGTTTTTAGCTAGTTATCTCTTCTGAGTTCTAATCTGGTTAATCTATTTCTAATTAGTTGTGATCTAATTTGGCTTTGACATCACTTTTTAGATTTCTTAGGTGGTAATAAATTTTAACAATCAAGTTGTAAAATTACATTTACGGAGCAATCATTTTTATGTTATGTAATGTAATGCACTGAAGCTCCGTCTTGAAACAATGTTTATTTAGAGATTTAAAGCTATTGTTAAGGACGGAATTGTAGTGGGAAGCAGCTTATGAATGTGATTATAGTACTCAACCAAATTACTCGATTTTGATTGGTCAAGAGGAGTACGATTAATTATTTATCGTACTCTGTAGGTGATATTAACCCAAATGAAAATTTTTTTGGTCCACAATAGTGTGAGTCAGTTGAGAAACTTGCTTTTTTGTAATTTCTCCAGATTCCAAGTGTTTTCATTTTTCTAGAGAGTTTGCATGCTAGAGAGTTTGCATGCTAGAGAGCTTGCATGCTAGAGAGTTTGCATGCTAGAGAGTTTGCATGCTAGAGATTTTTATTTTAATTTCTTCTTCCTCTAAGCACATGAATAATTTTCACAAACACAAAAGAGAGCAGATGATATTTTGTTGTGAGACAAAAATATTAAATCAAGGCTCGTGGTTATGCTTATGATGAGCAGTTTTAAGTATAATTGACATTCTAAAGGAAATGAATACATCCTTTAGGGAGACACAATCAAAACAAAACAAAAATCGCGAAATTCATTACTGCAGCACGTAGATAACTGAAAGATATCAGGTTTTGCTTATGTGTTTTCAATCAGAAATTATTATTTATTGATTTTTCATACTTCCTTCCTTATATCGTCTAATTTGAATTCTATAACAGCGTCCTTTGTGCCTCATGGAAAAGTGCTTTCTTCCCAAAGTATTGCTCTTCTTGCTACGGACATGTGCCTATGCCTTAAAAAAGACCCACAGTTTGATGGTGCTGTCGAAGTTCTCAGAGGATGCAATTACGCCATTCCTTTAGATGGAAGCTTTCTTTCCTCAGAAGAAGCAGAAAAAAGACATTCTACTTTTGAGAAGCTTTCTTCTCATTATCTAAATGTTGGTAATTATGCTTTAGTATATGAGTTGCTTCAGCATGTTGGTGATAAGGACGTATTCGGCATGACCTCTCTGAAGTCTATTTATAATGAACTTCTCAAGAAGTATATTGCCGAGAAAAAGGTTGATGATGCTATTGGTGTCATCAGGGAAATGGAAAATGAACTAATTTCGAGGGATCCAAATGTTCTTAGAGCTCTAGTGACATGCTTGGGTAACATAGCAAGATTTGTACAAGCCAGCGAAATATTCAAGAGCAGTTGTTTGCAAGGTGCTTATCCAGCCTTTCCAACAGGAGATGAACTTTGGAAAGCTACAGTTTGGATTACCTTCTCAAAGTTTGAAATTCAGTTCTACTTAGAACATCATTTACAGCTTTTGAACAAGTATGTTGAGCAAAACAGAATTGCAAGTCAGTTGCCGTACGATGAAAAACATTTTAAATCACTGAGAATAATCATCACCAAGGAGGAAAGCGATGGGACTGCATGTGACATGACGATCGATGCAGCTAAAGAGATGCAAGAAAAAATAATTGATATACTTTGTAGTGACTTTAATCCCCCTCTCAGCTGCGGAAAGTCAGACAAAGTTGGGGTAAGACTCATATCAGATTCAAGAAGTTTTGTATTTATGTGTAGAAATTATTTTTTGTCTATTTATATTCTAGTTTCTCTGTTTTCCTCCGTTTCTTCTTTCCTTACCCTTTAACCTTCATYATTAAATTCTAGAGTCCATCTAGTTTCTTAAGAGTACTCTTTGTTTTACAGGAAGTTATAGTCAACCCTCGCAGTTTGAGGAGGTGGTTCCTAGCCAATCCTCCTCCAGAACGGCAGATGCAGACCTCTCCCCTGTCAGAATCAGATGGCAGTACAGAACTTACTAGAAATGTTATAGCATCAAAGGGAAAACCAGGAATCACCATCAGAGTAGAAAATCAATATCACATTGATCTTCAAAAAACAACTCTTTATGACGAATATGAACCACGTATCAGGCATACTGTTTGTGGACATCTGACACGATACCTAAGGCAAGGAAAACTGGCGAATAAGGTAAATCATTTGCCAAGTGGAATTTTAATTTTCTCTTAATATATTTTTGCGTAAAGTTTGAAACAATAGAGTACTCGTGCAACGAGGAAAAAGTAAATTAGATTTTGAGACAATTGCTTCAGCTCAATTCTAATTCTTTAGGAAGAGTTTAAAAGGCTTGCACGTGAGCTGACCCAAGACTTTCTACGATCCTCAAATTTGGCTGACCTTGATACAGACTACAAGCAAGTCCGTGGAAGAGTTGTCTCCTTTGTAGATAAATTCTTTGACAAGGGAACAGGAACAAATGGGTCAGCATTAAGGAATCAGGAGGTGTAGGTTTCAATGAACATTAGAGTGAAAATCACCTTTTTTGTTGGATGCCAGTGATTATGCCTGGATGATGCTAAACTTAAGCGTTTAAAAAGTGTATATAGGATATTTAAAGCAAGAAAAAATATGAACTGAGATAAAACAATACAGAAGAAGCTCCTGTGTTTCACTATGTTAAAAAGGTTTTTGAATGTCTAAATACATTAAATACCGACTTAAATTTTTATGTTTGTAAGAGTTGTAGTAGTAAAGAAATAGACCAGTCACTTTCAGTATCAATGATGATTTTTAATAATGAGCCTTCTGTTTAGAAGAGATGTTAAATTCGTTTTTGGAAGAGAGAAGATATAAAACTTCTGATTTAGAATTGATTAAATGGTTTTAAAATGGATCAATTCGTGCATTAAATGTTCTGGTTTATGAGCTCGGCGATGACTTCGTAATGTAGTAGATAAAATCTTTTAATTACCCGGAATGATCAAGTAACTTTAGCCTATTTAAAGGAACACAGAAAACGATCACTGATAAGAGCCAATGCATTTTTTGGCCACATGTTTCAAATACTGAATGACAGTATTTTATGTTAAGTAATAACTCTGTGATCATCTCTTTTGTGGATGGTTGATGTGTATCTCCCCAAAAGAAGCACATTTCTGTGCTTTTTCTAACTGATGCCTAAGTGTAAATTAAACCCAAACCAACCTTCTATGTTTCTGTGATTAGTAATCTGGCAGCTATTTTCATACGTTATTTTGCTTGTATGAGTGACTCTGAGGGTGAAAAATGTTCGAGTAGACACCCCAATTTATATAGTTTGTATAAATTGAATGTTAGTCGTATGTGTTGTAACATTGATGTGTTTTGTTGTGCAAGACTGTTGTCAGATGTTTTGGTTTGAAGGCATTGTAAAAAGCAATCTTTAGTACTTTGTTTAGTAGTCAATGGTATTCTTCGAAGTGTTTAACATTCTCATTTGTTTTTCCTTAAAAAGATCACTTTTCAGGATGTATGTAAAGTACATATTTTCGAGCTGTTAGGTAATGTGTATGTGTGTCGTTAAGATTGCATATACATTATCAGATTATTCAAAATGATTTATATTTCCAAATGATAAGAAATATTTAAAGCTAAGTTATAAAATATCTTGAATCAGGATTGATGTGTTTTATTTTACTGAATTTGCCTTTTTGACTTTTTAAATGCTTAGATATAGACGACTAGATTCCTGATAATGGACTTTCTCAAATATCAAGTTAGAGCTCTTATCGATAAGGCAAAGAAAGTATTAAACATTGGATAAGTTGTTTTTCTCAAAATACATAAAGTTCTGAACGAAAGTCAAATAATTAACGCCAAAGCGCTGGTAATTTAGACATTACTTGGAATATTTTGATTTTATTCTGAAGTAATGTGAAACGTTTTTAATTGTAAAGTTGTATCATAACTTGTGAGCTTTTTTGATTATTTTCTCACTAATCTTGTGATTATTTTTTGCAGTAGCTTGACACAAGGTAAGGTTTAAAGTACTGTATTAGTTAATCATTTATAAAAACATATTTATTATTCTGAAACAAAACAACGTATGTATAGAGCATTGGTATGTTAAATGTTAAATCGATTGGGTAGCATAATCTTTGGTTTAATGGTTTATTTGTCCAAAGATCAAGTTATTTATTTCGGGAAGTATTTATCAATTTCATGAAGAGACGAAAACGATCTTTTCCAGTTTTATTATGTATTTATTGGAAAATACAGGTCGCACAAGGATGCCCTCAAACGATAAATCATTCAGAATACAGAAATATTAGAAGGTATAGTACCTTAAAAATTGTGAAAAATTAATTTAATGTATATGTAAAAGTTTCTAGAGGTTGTGTTGCTGTTTTGTCGTCATCCTCAGATGTTGTCAGTGACCTTTTGTGTCCTTTATTGTTGTTTCCTAAACACGCTTTATTCTTTCCTAATAATGTTTCAGGAAGGAAGTTCTTGTATTTTATCTGTTGGTTTGTTTGTTCTTTTTGTTGTTTAAGAGATTCTTCGAAAGTATGCTCAAACTCAGAAACCTTTATAACCTCTATTAAGCGAATGTATGCTTTCAGGATTTAAGGATTAATTTTTGTGCATGGATTTATTGAATTCACTGAGACTAATGTGGATCTTCACAAGAACATTAAGAACTGTTTTGGAATCCTGGTCGATTATGTTTCAGTGCTTTGATTTAGTATGTGGCTATCACCAACATAATCCCACTTGGGGCCGACTAGAAATACAGATTTCTTTACCATTGCTTCTGATTCTGTTCTTAACTGGCTTCTATTGGACAGCGATATTGTTTGCTCTTGACATGTTGAAGGTCCTTAAAGAAGCAATCGAATAAGGAAAAAAGTCGTTTATTGTCCATCAGTGGAAGACTATTTAACAATTCTTGATTTTACATTTTGATATATGAAGTGTTATCGAGATATATGCGTGAAACTTACACTAACATAATGCAAAATGTAAGAAGGGATGTCGAGAAACAATTCTCCCAGTTGGGATTGTCTATTTTGCTGGTTGGCATGATGCCTTGCTTTTTCTCTCCTCTTTTTGTTGTTGATTGGCTGACATGTTTTGTAGATAAGAAGCCTCCACTCGCTACGTTTCTTTATGATAGAATTCCATATAGTGAGCACCTTCTTGGCCTTGTCCATCCGTGCAACATGTCCCATCCATAGTGGACACCTTCTGATAAGTTTATTTAAAAAAATCATACGCCAGAATTTGAAGAAGAAAAAGAATTTTTAGTCCGTCCGTCCGTCCGTCCGTGTACACAACACAGGAATCCCGATTGATGTCAAAGTAAAACTACTCACAAATGTGGCTCTCAAAGACACAGAAAAAATCGCTCTAGACAAGTTATTGACCAAAAACAATTAAAAAAATACTTTCATGTAGTCAAAGATTGATCAAAAAGCGTTCTTTAAGAATTCAGAAGTCTTTTATTTAGCTTTGTAAATCTTTGACAATTCGGTTCTTTCTAACATGTTTTTCGTTCAAAAAAATGCAGCTTTGCTGGCCTCCTATCGCGGGGTCTCATCGGCAAAACAAAGAAGACTTTCATTCAATAATTGTATATCTTTCTACCGATAATGTATTTATTTTTGAATGAAATATAAGTTTTTACCAGCTATACAACTGTTTATTAAGCTGTTCAAGCAAGTATGATTTTAAAATGAGCTTAAATTTGTGTTGTTGAGAGATGTTATTGTATAAAAACCTAGACTTTCACTTTAAAAAGCTAAAAAATATTCAAAAACATTTACAAACGCCAATTTACTTACAAAGAAATTCGTCATTTTGTATTTTGCATTGCCTTTTGCATTATTTTTTATTTTGTCTCAGTTGTTCTTGTCAAGTTTAAATGAATGTGAGCTTTGTTTTTTGAAGTTTGTTTTTTTTTGTCTTGATTTGCCCTAAATCTCCAGATTTTCGATTTCCATGAAAGACATCTAAGGTAAATTTCACTAAACTTGATATCGTATTGGATTATCTGTAGTTATCTTTCGTTTTTTTTAAGTAAAAGAGATTCAAAGCCTAAAACTGTCGGCCTTGGAAAACAAGAACAAAACAAGCCCCTGGGGGTGGTGGTGAGTTGTGCACAAAACTCGTTAATGGGAGAGTATACTTGCTCAAAGAAAACAATGTACTGCATTTCAATTCAATTTCACTGCAAGGTTTTTATTATGGGAGAAATTATCTTCATCTCGAATAATAAATAATTGAAGATTTTTTTCCCGGTCTTATTTTTACCTTTCAGTGTCATACTCATTCGAGAGCTCCGCTTTTAGGCAGTGCCTAAAAGATTGAGATTGAGATTAAAACACGGAAATAGTTCAGGAATGCCAATATTACTTGGTACCAAGCCATTTTCTTTATCAATTTTTATCAATTTTAAGCTGGAATACATAACTAATTTCTGAAATTCCATGGCGCAATTCCCGGGCGCAATTCCCGGGCAACTCCGACCGCCAGTTGGCAGATCAAAGATTTGCCATGTCCCGTAGGCATACCAACGAAAGTGTCTCTTTCAATTAAGAAAGAATACAAAGCATTCAATTGATACTTGGTCAATTCTGAAATATTACTATCTTCTAACTTTGCTACAGCATAAGAAAGGCTGTTTTGAAACTTGTATTTTTCTATATAACGATACTTTGTATTAGTCGCCATTTTGAACAATGGAGGCTCAACATGAGCCAGCGTTGATAACAAGATGTCATGCTCTAGTGACACAATATCCAGAAAAACGAGTCTGAGAACCGGTTTTTACCTCCAAAACTTTGGAGGCAGTTTCTTCAAACAAAACGACCATTTGAGGGCAGAGGTATTTTTTCTCCCCGAGCAGCCAGCCCACGGAGGGTCAGTAAAAAGCCTCTGCTCTCGCAGGGTAGGACTTATCAAGGTTTATACTTGCGATATGCTAATGAGCATGATGTCATAGGAGGCATTAAACATACAAAACGTTTAGTAAAATATCTAGTGTTAAACATCATTTTCTTGTTCAGGGTTTATAGAAAGGTTATTGCAAATTTGTTTTCTTATAGAAATTAGTGATTGCATTACATTTCCATGGTGACAAATAAACTCAAATGTCTTCAAGCATGTCACATAATAAGCACATTGAAAGTATAAACCTTGATATTTCAAGATGCATCACTCAAATAATAATAATAATAATAAAACAGCCTGTATTAAATGTCAAACTAGCAGTAATTTGGTAGCTACGAATTTAATGTGAAGGATGAACAAGAGATATATAAATAAAAGGTTCAAACTCTAACTCGGACAATTGGCAGTATTAAATTTTGCAGTTGCTGTTAAGACAACAAAAGCAAGGCTAGAAAGTGATAAGTTGCATGTCATTATAGCAGTGTGCATGAGATTGTTAGCAAAATGGTCAGAAACTGTAGTAGGTTTAGAAGAAGTGGCAAATGCGCTCTCAGCTCTCTTGCTCTTGGTCATGTCGTACCAGCATTCCGTTTTGCCAGAGAATGCATCACCAGTAATGCCAGGTCCGACCTCTCCTGTTTTATTTTACACTGGAGCTCCATATGACTCTCCCACATCTTCTGAATGGCAGTAGAGGTGAATGGTTTGCCTAGGTCGACCCACATGACGAGAAGAGCGTTTGACCTCGATTGCTTTCCCGATCAGTTAGTGCAAAACAACAACAGAAAGCAACACTGATAATACGCAAACAATATCATTTTGCGTTGATTTGTTAATACCAGAAGACAAAGCATGATGAGCTCGATGGTATCTACCCATACTTGAAGGAATTCAGGTAGAATGATCAATTTTCCTGATAAATTCCAATTGTACCAATCGTACCAATTATTGCATGTACCAGTATTGTTAAAGGAGATCCCTACTTCAACCATAGTGCCAACCTCTTTTTTGTTGTTAAAATCGTTGTCTTCCTTTCATATTGGCAAATGCTAAACAAAAGAAAGGTTGCGACCTACGACGTGGCATAAAAAATAAAAAATAAAAATGTGATTTAGGAAAATTAGAAAAATATATTGTTATATACATTACATTATATATTGGATAAAGCAAATTTACAGGCCAATATCCCTCTAAAATTTGAGTTTCCTCACAGTATTGAAATTCATAAAACTCTTTCCTTGAACTAGGAGCAAAATTCCCATCGATTGACCTAGTGAAACTAGTATTAGGATGGTAGTCATCCAGAGATCTTCACTTGAATGTTGACAAACTCCCAGCAACATTACTTTGTTAGTTCTCTAAAAATATACATATTCTTGCTGCATGATTGGCATTATTTTTAATTCGTCCGATGACATCAGCATACTCTCTTACTTTCAATGTTACTATTGCTGACCAACAAATCTGTAATCTTCAAAAGAAAAAAGATATCTAGTAAGTAGGGAATTTTTCGGTTATTCCAAAAGATTTTGCTTTCAAATTATACAACTTGCATAAAATGGGCAAGGCACTGCCCACCACTCTGTATATCAAAGTATTTTGGTATATGGAAACATTGGGAAGGTTTTATTGACACTTGGCACTTCAACAGTTGATGCTTGATTTCTCTACTATGGAAGCGAAGAGCACATGGATCAAGTAAAAAAAAAAAAAAAAAAAAAAAGAAAAAAAAAAAAAAAAAAAAAAAAAAAAAAGAAAGGGAGGTGGCAAAAACTATAACAAATATATCACGGCCAACACTTTTTACTTATAATGATCATATTTTTACCATAACTTGTATTTTCTTAAAAACAGTAAGAAGGCAGTTTGCTTTCCCCCATCTATTATGTCAATTTAAAAGCTGAGAGCTGTTTTAAACTGTTTTGAACTTCCTTGTCTTTGTCTTTCCCATCCAGACATAAAAATGCATATGAATCAACTAACTATATATACTATTTTGAAATGGTATTATTGGTTAGTCATGTGCTTTTACCTGGCTGACTACGGGACGTGCTTACGTTTAAATCTGTTCTGTAATGATTGCAATAATGATGGAGTCGTGCCCTTACAGCAGGTTTAACCTTAATACAATAGAAAAGATACAATAGAAATGATACACAGTTCTGTAATGCAAGCTTGTAAGGAAGCTTCATACAGTTTTTTTTAGTGCTCAGCCAGTCAAATGTTGACGGCTGTCACTGTTTTATGCAAACACCTACATTTTTGAAATTTTACCCACCTATACGAAAATTGGAGTTTGTAATGATGTACATTTCATTGCATTAGGAATTGGCATAGCAACGAAACAGTCTTGCCATAACAACGAAATCGTCTTTCCAATCCAGAAACTGATAATCTTGATTGTTATGAAGACATTAAAAAAAGTTGTTCGGTTTATGGCCAGACATGTTTCGAGGTGCCCCACCTTATCATCAGTTTGTAGATCTAATGTATGACTTGGTTATTTATATAAGTGCCATATATTGTTTTACTCAGGTAATCTTGAAATCTAAAGATGGCCTTGCACTCCTTGCCCAAGTGAACTAGATTGGGCTGTCCATGACAAGAGTTGGGGGCAAAATCTCTAGGGTTCTTATTTCAAGCCCTCTGCAGGGGCATAAGGTCAAGAGCAGTGAGTTGACACTTTCGCATTGGCCTTCTTAGAGATCGCATTACTGAGGGCGAGGTTGAAATTTTCACTTATTTATTCATCCTCGTCAACATCAATCATTTACTGTTACTATTTACTGTCCAAAAAAACCACAACAGTGATGTACATAAATTTGGTAGAGATGCCTAGAAGTAAAGGTTTTAGTTTTTTTAAGAGTTTTATTGGGAAAAAAAGCAAAAAGATGGAATACAATGTTCTTAATAATAACTGCACGAATCTTAATAGTCAGTAATTGTTAAGACCTATGACATTTTGTTGTATATCTCTTGTATAGCAGAAACGCTTTGCGATTATCCTTTTCAGTATGAGTGAATGTTTCATATTGTATTGGTGGCTGGGACTTGAAAACATGGAAAAATTTAATTTTGAGAAAGGCAGTTTGAAGATGGTTCATTCACTATTAATATCGCACATGTACTGGAAAGATATATACCAAAATATTATATTAGGGGGGTTGTGAAACAAAAGATTGATGGCTTGAAACGCCAAGTTACTAGCTAGCTCTTGGAGGAGTTACATCTTCTTTTCAAGACTGATAATTGTGGCTGCTGAGGCGGTTTATTTCCTTCATCAGTTTGATCATTTTTCTACTGTCTTTATTGTCGTGAAATTCGGTGAGGTAGTTTCTCAGGAAGTGTTTTATCCTAAGGAACTTGGAATTTTCTGTACCACGTTCATATTTCATGATATGGACAGAGGCTTTGTAGGGGAAGTTTTCTTTGCATATGAAACAAGGCTTTAATAATAGTATTAATAGCTATTTGTATAGCACCTATCCAGAACTTCTGTAGGCGCTCAGGAAAAAATAACGAGAATCGTTAATTACAAATTAAATTCTACTTTAAACAAATGAGTTTTAAGAGATGACTTGAACAATGAAAGGCTTGCAGTGTTTCTTACTGAAGATGGAGGAATTCCAGAGTTCAGGAGCAGAGACGGAAAAAGAGCGATAACCATAGGAATTGACACGATATTTGTTATGTTCAAGAAACAGACCAGATGAAGAACGCAAGGGTCTCGATGGTGCATAACAAGAAATCATGTCAGAAATGTAGGAGGGAGCCAAGTCGTAGAGTGATTTGAAAGTTATGAGTAGAATCTTGAATTTGCTACAGTCAGTTACTGGAAGCCAATGCAGTTTTTAGCCAAAAGGACTCATCTGCTTCCAAATGAGTTTATTCATTAATCCTTACTCTGACAGAACTGTCAGTAGCAAAACATAATATTTTGGACCTTTATGCTAAGAAAATTCATATAAAACCACTGATTAGAAAACACCTGTCAAGTAATATATCAATGCAAAGCTTATAGGATAAGCTTTCATCTGCAATTTCTTTTGACTATGTTACAAGTAATCGTAACAAATTATGCAAATTAGAATATGCCATATTAGGAAATGTCGTGCAAATAAATGAATCAGATAAGAAATATTGAGAAATAATAATATAATTGAAAAAGAATTTGGAGATAAAACCAGCTTAGTAAATAACTGAAGCAGTGCAACAGCTTATTTGACCATAATATGACATTTCAGCCCTTACGATACCTAAAATATATTTAGTTTCCTGTGGTAGTCCATATGGCAACTGGAGCGACATAGCCGCTTCATGCAGGTCTTGCATCCAAACCCTGTCTCCTTCCTTTTTGAATTCTTTACACCAATACAACAGTGATTGCATCTTCCAAATTTTAAAAGCCCAAGCTCCACCATATTTACAGAGTCATGTTTATTGCTATATGCTGGTGTGATGGGCAAAGATGGAGCTGGACCAGGGTGGCGACGACAAGAAAAGTCACCCATCAGATTATGAATGATACATGCCATGAACTTATCATGCCCCATTGGCTCTGGAGGTTTCTGAGGTTGAGGCATATTCATAATCTTGAAGTTTTGCTTGTATATAATGTATGCATTCACCATTATAGCATCAAGGAAATTCACAAATAGCCGAACCCACCAGCGTCGGGATTTCCTGTCAATCGCATATGACTGTACCATCTGATCATGCCTATCTACTGCACCCATGTTGACATTGTATGAAACAGCAGATGGTGGACAAGGCAGACTTAGTTTACCTCCTTTTTTCAGCTTCCTCTGTATTGTAGTGTTTCCTGATGAAGAGTGGACATTGGAAACAAAGGTCACATGCTTTGTGTCCTTCCATACTGCACAAACTATTTCACCACAAGCGACAGTGTGATAATCTCCTCGCTTCATTCCTTTGAGGAGGTTGGCATTCTTTAGTGCTTCAGGATATCCCTTTCTATTTGTTCTGAGAGTCCCAACAACATATGTAGACCATTGACGCAGTTCTTTCATGAGTGGAAAACCAGTGAAAAAATTGTCAATACAAACAATAATACCTTGATCACGAAGTTCAGATACAAGATCAATAACAACCCGATGTGCTAGGCCATTTTCACTAACTCCATTGGCTTTACCAGTGTACACTTGAAAGTCAAACAAATATCCACAACAAGAGCAAGCAACTTCCCAGATTTTTGTTCCTCTTTTTATTGGTTTCATTGGGAGGTATTGCTTGAAGGGATTTTTCCCTTTTCCCTTTACCATGTGCTCATCAACGCTCACATATTGCCCAATATGATATGATTGTCTAAATTTGTCTCTCATACCATCTATCAATGGTTTCAGTTTATATAGCTTGTCATATGTAGGATCAGTGTGAGCAGGTTGAATTGTATTATCAGCTTAATGAAAAGTTTGCCAAAGTTCCCAGCATCTATTCCTCGTAAAAACTTTCTGTAATGCAGGTACAGCAAATACCAGTCTGAGCTGAAATAGCGGTCAAAGTTTGGGAGTCTATGGAGAGCCATAAAATATAGTGCCCCAATGAATGCTTTCATTTCTTTTACTGTTGTATTGCCTTGCCATTTTTTCCTTCGCTTCTGCATGACATACAAATTTGTTTGCTGCACAAGAATTTCCCAAATTTGATCGTGAAATACCATTTCAAAAAACTGCAAGGGCTCAGAATCAAGAGGCAGCAATTTGGATGGTCTATGTTCACCCTTAAATTCAGGGAAATTCACAGCATCATCGATTTTTCCCCATGACATATTGTTTTCTGTCTTTTTACCATTCTTGTTGACAGGAGATCTTGAACGATCAGACAAAGGTCCTTGCCTTCTCCCACCTAACTGTCGACCACGAGGCCTGTCATTATAATTTGCACTGTTATTATCATCTTGAATGTCTATATCATAGTTTCCTCCTTCAGTATCCATATTATTGTCCTCGGAATCGCCAGAGTGCGACTCTTCTTGCCCAGCATCACTGTTTGAAATACCCTCTTCCCCTTCGAAGTCAGAATCTTCACTGTCATCGGGAATTTCCATCAAAATTCTTGCAACTTCTTCGGCTGTGTATGACTTTCTCCTTCTGTCCGCCATCTTTTATCCTTTACGAAGTAGATTTGATCCAATAATTACAAGAAAAACCTTCCAGAAACCTACTTTGTGCTTGAACACGAAGTTTAAATACCCTGCTGTCCCTTTAAATTATAAACTTCTAAAAAAATTCGCTAAATTTGCGTAAAAATAGAGGATTTTTTGCCCTAAAAACAGCTTTTAGATCGAAAAAATATCAATAAACATGAAAGTGAGGCAGTAGCATCAAAACGAGTTTTTCATTAAGAATAATGAATATTTATCAGAATGACGTAAAAACCGCGGAATAATCCGTGTTTGTCAGAGTAAGGGTTATGAGTGATCTCTCTTTCCTTGGCTCTTTTATTTATCCTTTCTTTGCTGGCAATGTACTGACAGAATTCATAAAATAAAAAACTAGAAAATATCTTTAGTTCCTTGATTATATCTGTTTCATGCTGGTCTTTCTCAATATGTCAAAGTTCGTTTTTGTTCAAACCAAAAGAAATTGTAGTGGGCATGTCTGAGGTGGAATATTTGCCAGCTAGAATAAAAGTAAAATAAGGTTGGTTTCTTGCAAAATAAATATTCACTTTCTGGCTAATAAATGCTAGATAGTAGTCGTAAAAAACTACCTCGTGTTTAATAATCTCTTCATCACTCGTTTTGTGCTTTTTCCTTGGTTGAAAGTTCTCTTTCTCTTCCAACTTTCTCTTCGAACAGTTACCATTACAGTTACCCTCATGCGTATTCAGGTCGTGTTTTCTTGTGAATGATGTGTTACAATTGGAACAGGTAAATGTTTTGATGTCATTTGCTTTTCTCACTCGTGCCGTACTAGGCTTCGTCTGTGAGAAAATGATCTTCCACAATGGGGACACTTAAATTCGTTAATCTTTAGAAGGAATATTAAAAAAATAAAAAATGTGAAACATTTTAGATCTCAATGTATTATACCATGGTTTAAAATGTAGTGCAATAAGATATTACTGATTCACACTTTTCTATTTTTTATTAAATCATGATAACTACTACTTTAACAGAACTGAAATCAAGTTTTTTTTACTAACCTTATCATCCATTGCCTCTTCGATCCATCGTGAAAGCAAGTCAGTCACCTCGAGATGATCGTAGAGTTTTCCATGTTGCGAGTTGGTTATTTCAGCTTGTAATGGAGCTAGCAGCTGACCCACTCCAATTTATAGCCATATACCTCTTACGTAAAAACTCGAAAAATAGAGATCTAAGCACGTTTAACAGGCATCAAAAAACAAAAGAGCTGCTGAGCTAAGCACTAGTCATTTCGGAGTCAAAATCTAGCTGGCACTGACACTGCGGTTCCGAGTGGGGACTGGGGTCAAGCACTAGTGTTGCTGAGTGGGAGCTGGGAAGGAGCATTCAAACAATAGCTGGACTCCATAGCCAATGAGTGTCCGCGTGGGATGACCAGAGGGGACTGAGACTGTGCACCGGATAGCACCTGCAACGGATTGTTGGAGAACCGCTATTTCCCTGCTACTGTTTTGACGTATAGTTTATAGGAATGATTAGCTCTAGTAGACTGAACTTTTGCAAATTCGAGAAAATTATCAAAGCTCAGAATGCACAAACCAAAAACTATTTCACGACATTCAATGATCAGTCTCTGCGGGCCAAGAGTGTAGGCCATTTCAATGTCTAACATCATTCTTCGTATGGGAAATCCCCTCTCGCTTATTGAATTGCCAGCCTTGAGGCCCTTTTTACTTTTTCAAGTGTGGTGATGGCCTTCACTAGATATGGACACCAAACAGGTGATGCAAAATTGTTCCACTTTGCTTCATCCGTCGCTTACCCTGCAGTGCAGAACTTACTTGGTTCTTATGAATGTTTCAGCTTGTTTTCTTCAGTTAGCTTTTAATTGGACAGTTAAACTAATTTCTTTATACTCTATAACTTGTTTAAAGTTTGCTGTCTTCGTCTTCTTGATCCGTTGGTAGATAGCTGAATCAATTCCCAGGGCAATGTGGCTTAACAACTTCACTGTTTTCTTTTGAAGACGAATGACCTTGTCAAGATGGAGATTGATTTTTTTAGGTCTCGATCCGTTCTCTATGATATTTTCGCTTCTTTTCAGTTTTTTTTTTTCGTAAGATTTTTTGCTCGTATTCTGTAAAAACATGAGCCATTTTAATCGATTTTTAGTCATAAAATGTGACCTTACATGGATTTATGTAACTGAATATCTAATGAGGTCCCTGTGTATGAATTGACTGGGGAAGCCTGGAACCGAATAGAGAACTGTTTACAACATGGCRGATAGAAGTAGCGTTTTCGCGAAGATTTCGGTCTATTTTTCAGCAAAATGTGGTTTTATTCCCTTTAAAAATGGCGTATCGCTGTTCTTGAAGATCTTGGATTTATCAGAGAATGTGGAGGCAAAAGGAACTAAGTTAATGGTAGGTTTTTAGATATAAAACGACATAATTCGACAGACAGTTATTCGAACTTTCTATAATCGGGTGACCGGAGTAAGTTTAATTGCAAAAATTCTTTTGTTGAGGTAAAGAAGAAGGGGCATTTTCGGGAAATCTGCACTTTCACAAAGGCTTTATATACACACAATATTATTTAGAACTTTTGTCAATGGAACCAGGTTACCATACTTAAATGCTTAAAAACTTCCAACCATAAGCGACTTTTATACGCGAATATCTCAAAGCTAGGTCACCGGGTCAGCTCAAAGACTTTTATATATACTAAATTATCGCTTAAAAAATAATCCCCATACATTTTATTATAAGATGGTCGTCCATTTTTAAAGGGCTCGGCGTTAAACTGCGCGTGCGCGTAAAATTCCATGTCGCAGATTTCTGGCGATGGAATCTATTTCTCACACATGAAAACAAATAATAACTGGTAAAATTGGAGTCTACCTAAACGTCGAGGGTCGAGGGTGTGAACGTCCTTTATTTCTGTTCGCCATCAACGGTCTTTCCCCCGGATATATTCGACTAAACATTTTTAATTTTAGTACTTAAAGTATGATATCTACGTCTAAACAACCTAAAGAACTGCAACCCACATTATTTGTCCTATTGCCCTTGATCGACTGATTAGATAATGACTGCGGCACTGAACGGAACTGCCTCCGTAATCATTATTGCACAATGATGTTCAATCCGCATGAGTTAAGGGTAGCAAGCTGTCCGCTATCTAGTGATTGATGAAGCGCYGATGAAATGTAAACAAGTGCAGTGAATAAAGGATTTTTTCTTTTTAACGTGACTAACAGATAAATGGTAGTAAGTATTTGTATAGTCGTTACTGTATATCATTTGTCCGGTTAAGTCGTTTTTCCCTACAACTCTTCGATCCACATGCTTTAAAACGATGTTATGTGGTGACTTTCTAAATTTATCTGTAAAAGGACTGGCACAGCCATAACAATTTTTAACGGCTTGTGAGAGTAGGATAACCTCGTACCTGTTTGGAGACATCCCAGAATGCCATGGTATAACATGTGCATGAAAGGCATTGCCAGATGAATTATTAGCACTGTGCAATGGGAGGAAGGGCGGTGGATTCTGTACTGGGACCTGGTATTGCATGGATGGCCTTGCTATCGGGTTAATAGATAATTATTGTTCTTATCAAAATCCAATTTAGCTTGTTTATCATAGAAACAAAGCCAATAATGAATGAACTAAATATGTCTGATTTTCCTCTATGCATTCGTTGGGATAATGCAGACTGAAAACAATGGATTTTGATAAGATCAGTAATTATGAGGCGGTAATGGCAATGAGGAGCTCGGTGTAGAAACGTATGATGCATTCCACGGGAATTGCTGCAAAATTGGAAGGGAGTAAGTAGCTGTGGAGGTGGCTGAGGATGATGGCATTTGGCTTGGCGCTGAAACCAATGGATGTCATAGACTACCACCGGTATTTGAAGAAGTTGGCTGCTTGCGTTTTTGTTTCGTCTTTTGTTGCTTATTTGTCGTATCTCTAGGGCGGTGTGATGATTGAGGGTCAATCAACGCCCCATTTTCTTCATTCTGAAACATCTCTTTGCCAAGGCACTTCGCCTTCTGCAGCTCACGCACGTGCTTATATCTTTCTCTCACTGCGAAAGAAGGGCCTGTTCCACCTTGTGCAGACCCAGACTGATATTGTTTTAGCTCCACATCAAGAAGCAAGGAGT